AAGCACCATCCGTGTTCGTCGGACCAGAAGAGGGGATGTCCATCCCACGCCATCTTGAGGAGTAGTGGTGAAATGCGAGTACGCACAGAGAGTGACATTGAGGCATCACTGGTGGAGAATAGGTCTCTGTACCATTTAGGCATGCCCGGCTTCTTTCGCGGCATCACGCGCGGGGGGTCATCCGGCAGCTTGGTCTTGAGTTGTTTGACCTCCTGCCCGGACCAGTCGAGCTGCCGAAGCCATGGATCGGCGTTGTATATCTCGGGAGATTTGCGCAATTTCACGGCTTCTTCCGCGAGATCGACGAGGCGCTGGAGAACGGCGTCGGAGAGGCGGTGGTAGGTTGCTTCAGCGTTTGTAATATATGATTCCCAGCCGCGATTGACGGGGAGTATGCAGGATGAGAGGTGACGGAGGGCGGCAAAGGAGATGGGATGCGGACAGACTTCGAGGAAGGCGGGGAACACCTCTTTGTAGACTTTGTGTGTGACCACTACATCCTCGGCGCAGTAGGTTAATAGATTGTCAAGCTGCTCCCTCACACCCTCTGGATCCAAGATTCCAAACTGGTCTCTGATACTCTTGTCCATCTCAATCCCACAGTGAAACAAGGCCACGTCCTTTAGGCTATTTAGAGAGCTCTGTCCAGCCCAATGCCCGCCGCCCTCCAAGCTCTCACTCACTACGAAGCCTTCTTCGTTACGTTGGCCCCCCTCCGCATTCTTTTTGATCAATCCCTTCTTCTGTTTCGACGTGGCTCCATTCGCAGCGACATGCAAACTCATCGTGTCTAGAAACATTGTTTGCGTTCCAGCTACATTGTACTCTTCCTTCACCCGTACTCTATCGAAACCAATGTTGTGTCCGGCCACTATTCTAGCCTTGTTTGGATCTCCCAGGCTAATCAACTGCCGATCGTCCTTAGTTTCACCCAGCACCCACGGCGACAGCCATGCATACCACGCATGGGGGCTCACGGCGGTCGCCATGACCGCGAACGGAGATATTTTGTACAGGACTTCCACATCAAATACTAGACACTCCTCATCCGGTGACTCTACCTCCTCTGTTCGCCCGTCTGAGTAGTACTTGGTCCACCCCGACTTGTGCACCCACTTCTTCGGTATCGGCGGCACGTCAACGGCGGCAAACCCACGCGCGAGATCCTGATACGGAAAAGCGGCCTCCATACCGAGTTTGTAGAAGTGCTCATCGAGGGAATTCCCAGCGAGCGCTGGCAGTGGGAGCTCTACTGGCTTCGATCTGCTCGGTGGTTTTGAGAGGAGGTCATGGCGCTGGAGATGCTCTTTTGAGAGTTTTAGAAGATCGGGGGAGGGTATTTTAGGAGGAGCGGTGAAAAGCGCATTGTGGACTTTTTGTGGGAGGAGTTGAATTCCTAAGGGGTTGGTTCGTACTAAATATGCAGGTTTGTTAGTTTTTCAATTCTGTCCGGGGTGGCGGTATATATGATGGACTTACTGGAAGTACTCTTTGTAGACTTGTAGCGGTTGCGGAGTAGTTGTAGATGCAGATGCGGCTGTGGTCGGCCGCGAGTGCGGAAACAGGTCGACAGCATCGCGAGTTGATACTCAATGGCAATTTCGCATTGGCGGTGTTGTATGAAGCTTTACGGGGGTGGGGTGTTTGTGGAGGGGCGGATATTTTTTTTTCACCGTGATGTCAGGGATTGTTGCTGCCAAGGCTTCGTCGGATAAGATGTATAGTTAATCATTGACGTCCATCTAGTGGCAGAATTTTGACGCTTGCTTTTTCCCTCCAAGCTATAACATATTGATAACGTTTAAATGGATGAGATCAATGTTTGACTCAGTACCTGATGTGATGAGCATAACTATATATTAATTCCCTTGAAGTTAACCCTTTATAAAATTACAGTAATTAAGCAACCGGCCACAGATGATATTGATACCCGAATTAACCTTAGGTTTCTACTACAGTGTCAGATGTAAGAATTCGTAATAGCCTTGGGGACAGTGATGAGAACTCCTTTCAGCGCGTCATATTTAGATCTTGGGGTAGATCTGTTGATAGGTCATTTAAGATACCGGTGATAACTAATCATCAATTGTGTTGAAATCGAGCGTCCTATGCTCCCTATTAGTATCAGGTGCGAACGGGTTGAGTAGGGGAGGAAGAACGGGTTGACTAGCAGGGCAGGAAGGCTGGGTTATGACGAGTGAGCATGAGTGATGCTTGCAAGGGCTGTGGTCAACGACCTTTTCTTCTGTCTTTCCTTCTCACTCACTTCTGTATCAAGCACGAGTAAATCAATAAAAGCTTTCATCGCTCCCAACAAATTGCAAGTACATGCAATCGAGCAAACAACAAAACTGATCGATCCCTGGCTCATGAAAGTTTAGGGCTGTTCTATGTACAGCCACTCTGCTAAAGTGTTCGTGATTCAGTTTTAATGTCAGTGCGCAGTGTGGCGCACCCGTGAATTTGATGTTATTAGTGTTGAGGTTCAAAACAACGAAAAATATATAATATAGTTCGTAAGTATTTATAAAAGAAGATAAGTCCTTAAAATACTCTTCATTGATTCCGGGAGCCATTGGTCACTGGGGGAGTCTTCTCTTGGGGTTTTGATGGCCCGCCACGGTTACATATGAAGAAATGTCTCACTCCGAAATCGTAATCACGAACACTTTTGCAGAGTAGCTGTAGTTATTATATTATTAGCAGTAGAAATTGAACCGTGACTTGATAGATGTTACATCTAATATTGGTGTTCGGCCGGTTATACTAATATCATGAACGATCAATTAAGTACATCTAAGCCCACCTCCCCCGGGCCCCCAGGTTTCTAAAGAGGCATCAAAAGCGTAGTAGAGTTTCACTATCTAACTAACCGAATCACCTACGATACAGTGTTTACGAGGGGAATCCAAAATACTGAGGTTCTTTTTGAGGTATGACCGATCATTAGCTCAGTCGAAACCTTTTCTTTCTTTCCTTCTTGGGGGAGGGGGGGGGGGTTGAGGAAAGGGACTTGCATAAGGGTGTGGTCAATACCCCAATACCCCCCCCCCCCCCCCGGTTTCCTATCTCACGAAAACAGAATATATCGCCGTTATATTTTACCTTTTATTCGTTCTGTCTCTGTAGTTTAAAACCGAGCGCGGCACTCCCCGCCGGCTCTTATGATATTTTACAAGCGGAAAGTGTAAATCGCGGGGCAAAGAACAGGCTACAGGCCGGCCGGAAATGAGATTCATATCCTGTTCCTAAAAGAGAAGAATATAGCTGCATGCTCAGGCTTGTGGAAAAGGGGCAAAATTTCCTACCGATCACCCGGACCAGAGACCGAGGAGAAAGAGAGAAGCCAGAGGACAGAGAAAAGTTAATGTTTCAAGGTCCTCAGAATTGATTAGCTTCTTCATTGTTCAAGCTCTTTTGCTGGAAAATTCACGTTCTAGCTTGCATGCATCCTAGAGAAACGCCTTAGACTTAGAAGTTCAAGTACTCTGTCTACATCTTCTTTACCAATTCCCGTTAACTTACTTGCCGCCCGTTTAGCCGCATCACCTTCCATTGAAGTTATAACTCTAGCCGTGTACGCGTTGCATTTGGGGACTTGGAAAGATATCACCCAAAACCATCACCATATAGCTGTTGTTGTTCTAGATCTTGAAAGTTGGAGTTATCTTTAAAAAGTAGTGTGGTCCACGCGCGAGGCATCGACGCCCGAGGACTTGCCTCGAGGCCTCTGCCTCGAGGGAGCTCAAGGCATGGGGGTCGACAAGGCGAGCATGCTCGAGGCAAACCCTCTTGCCCGCCGGCCTCGAGCTGCTCGAGGTTTAGGTAATCATAGTATTAGTGGCATATATTCAGTAGGGTCGATGTTTCTGATAGGAACATTGGAAGCATTAATTTCCTACATTTGCGTTCCAGTATTACAATAAAATACGACTTTGACAGATCTAAATATAGCAATTATCTGCCTCAAGCCAGCTCGAGCACCTCGAGGCATCCCCCATTTTTTCACGAGCAAACAAAGGCATGGACAACACGAGGCAGAGGCACCTCGAGCACTTGTCACTGCTCGCCTCGAGCAGCCTCGTGGACCACACTATTAAAAAGATTTGTTTATATCCACTAGCCATGTAATTTTGCAATTTGCGCGCCTCAGACTCACCAGCTTCCCCTTTAGATCGTCTCGACCTTTATTAACACGCAATATCTTCCGTTACTTCGAATTTCTAGTCCAAAGTCCAAGCGATTCCTAGAGGAATTCTGCTGGTCTAATGAAAAGTTGTCGATTCTTCCTGGAATTAACACACGACATAAACATGCATTTCCTCACGGATATGTGTGCATGTGAGCTATCAAGCTATAATAGCCCAAGCTTATATATATTAAAGATTGATCACGATGAGTTGGTCTAGAAATTCGAAAGTACACCGTACCAATTGCAACAGTAGAAAGCTGAGGCCAGAGAATAGTTAGTGAAGTTGTGCCGTGCAAAGATACTTATTGTCTTATTGCCAATACACTTAATTAGCTAGCATATAAGTCATAAAGATTCAATTAGGAACATTGCTGCTCTGAATACGTATTGACTACATGTAGCAGCTCCGCAGCTGGCGATGTTCCGCTCATGGACATGGCCACTAATTAAAGAATCACCTGTTCGAAAGAAAGTTCCTATTACTCCGGTTAATTGCACGTAGTGGAAGGTATCAGCCGGTCAAAGGTTTGTAGACATTGTACATATATATATTAGCGTAATGAGGTTGACTGATTTTGTTTACATCTCGTTTCATGCGGCGCAGACGGAGAAAGCCGTGTGAGCCTCGCCTAGTCAATAATTCCAGATTCCAGCCACACACTCTCTTTCAACCTCCAACGAACTAGCCACGAAAACAACGCCATCCCCAGGCTCCAGTTTCTCGTGAGAACGCCCCCAGACCTCAAAGCGCGCGACGGTCTTGCTGAAACTCGCCTTTTACTGCCTTAAGTACGTGCCGTCTTTCGAAATGGCGCAATCAGCAGCATCTTCGTTCGACGACTTTCAAAAACTGCACAACACACTGATAGATCCCCATGGCCCAAATCTAGCGGTGCTGGCGGAAGAGCTGGAATCACGCACTGCAGAACTGAAGAAGTTGCTCGAGGTTCCACCCAAGAATGATGCCAGTCGAACGAAGATCAAGTCCGGTAAGCTACATACTGCCTCCACGCGTTTCCCGGACGGGCCCGTACTAACTTTACCTTGCGCAGGAAAACTGGAGATTAATGGAGGAGAATACAAGATCAACGAGCAGTTTATCCAGGAGGCGACACAGCTGTCAGATGACTTCAACATGGATGAGGTAGAGGCAGCACGGCTGTTATTTAGGGGATCTGAGGAGAAGCAAAAGCTAGATCGGTCGGCCTTCCAAAGCGCCGTCTTTCTCTACCATACTCGTCGACAAAACCTTCTAGAATGCTTACGACTAATACTCTCCTACGCGTTCAACGATAATACAGATCCTGAACTACGAGAGTTGGCCAAGGACACGGTTGATGTGCTATCTCCACTCAAGACTTGTGGGCAAACGTTTGCCGAGAGGTGTATTTCAGCGATGGGGTCGGTGCGGCAATCTGTGGAGCAGTTGAGGGCGAAGGAGAAACATGATCATACGCTTGGGCTAGAGAGTACCCCAAGTAATAAAGAGGAGTTAGAGATGCACGTCCGGTTCCTAATGAATCAGCATGAAGCCCTTGCATCTAGTGTTTACTACTTGGTCAAACTGAAGCGGGCCACAGTCTCAGATTTCAAGGCTCTACTCAACACCGTCAAGACCTTTGAGAAACATGACACATTCACCCTTCATCACATGCTTCCATTGTACGCCTTCATCACTATGCTCTGCGAGACTGATTCACCTCTGAGCTTTGAGGAGACTATCCAACTTCATAAAGAGATGTTGAGTAACTATAAATCATCACCATGGCCGCTAAAATATATTCACGCATCCGTCAATATATTGTGGATAAGCGAATTTAATGGACTCTGCAATGATCCTCCAACCATCGATGCGCCAAGTCTTCAAAAACTAGACTACATGACCGATATATTTGAGCCATCAAAAGAGGCGTTGGAGCAGGGTGCATTTGAATTCTTACTTGCGGTGTGCGCGGACGTTAGTGCCGGGTGGGCCCTCAACGCAGCAAAAGAGGATTTGCACCGATTTTTACAGACTCGAGTACCGCCAGTCGATCACCGTGGTCATATATCAGTACCTTTCAGGTCATTAATGATCAATCAGATAGAAATTTTTGTGGACAGTTTCATCTCAAACATGGCAGATGTATTGAAAGATATCAAGACGCGGGAGGAAGAGGACGTATTGTTAGGGCGGAAGACTTTGGGGTATGAGCTAGAGAGATTTTTCCTTATCATTCATTATGCATATTTGGGGCGACGAGACGCCGGAATGGTATTTTGGAGTGATCCAGAAAGCAATTTGCACGGGTTTATCTCTTGGGCATCGATGAGGCAAACACCGTTTATGGCGGCTACCTTCAGCTTTATGCTAGCTTCATTATCGTTAGGCAAAGTTGCCGCCGAACACACCCACAGATTTCTTCTTGACGAGGCCAACCCCGGTAGCACGAAAAGGAGGACAACCTATCTGTCGTGGGATTACATCTTCAAACAATTTCAACTGTATATTGGCCAGTTAGAAAAGAGATCACAGCAGTTAGTCCCAGCGAATGCCTTCAGGCCTCCCCTCCCGCCGCCAATTGAAACTACGGAGCCTGCACCTGAATTGAGTATGATGCTGGACGGATTCATGCGGCTAATCTCTCAAATTGTACAAGAATGTCCGGATGCCAGAAATTGGCTACTTCATGAGAGCCCCTTCAGAATTGTCCCTGCTCTGTTTGAGCTTCTCGGGTTACAAGCGTCAATCCAACTGTGGGATTCTATTTTTTCAACCATCACTGCTTTCTTGACTGAGAAGACTGAAGTTATTAATGGCGAAATATGGAAAGCAATTGACGATTGGGCTCTTGGAGCTGCTCCCCCAACTACCGCTCTACAACTCGGCGTCATCCCTGGAAAAGCCTTCGCCCAAGCTGGGTCTGAGAAACTTGACGCAGTAGTTACTTCGGTCCATCCTGCGGAGGCCTTTGTGCGTCTGCTTGCCACTTTGGTTTCGCCGGCATTTCATGACCAGCTTAAAGACGCTCTACCATTTCCCGAAAACCTTGGTAGCATGAATCGGTTATCCGGGATCGACCCATACGTCGATTTTATTTTGGGAACGATTTTCTCAAGTACCACGGTGCAGAATCTTCCTCCCGACCTTGTACTTCCGGTAGACAAGCAAGATATCCCAAGCGAAAGGTTGACCCGCTCACAGTACCGGAGTTTTCGTCCAGCGCTCCAATCTAGCTGCTTGACTTTTATTCATACTTGTCTTGCAACATTTAACGAAGATCTTCTCATTATCGCGAGCTCCAACATTTCTCTTGATTCTGCGATGAAATCATCTTCCCTTGAGACCTATGCAAAGCTGCATCCATTTGCCAGGGTCATGGAACATATCCTTACTGAGAAGTGCTTTAACGTTTTCTACGAAATCTTGAAGCTCGGCGTTGAGGATCTACAAGCCACGGACGTACCATTTCCTCTCGTTGAATTAGTCATCAACATTTTGGATCTTGCGTTGCAAATGCAGACAACATTTTTTGAGTTTGTTCGTCCTTTAGTCAAGCGTGACGACGGCATGCGAAAGGTGAACGTAACTTCTAACGGATACGGGTCCATTGAAGAAGCGGTCCTACACCATTTGGATATCGCAGTGTTTTTAGGACTGTTTGTGGGGAGTGCCAACCAGGATATCACCATGGCTGCTTTGAGCCTCCTTGAAAGGCTTTCCACACGGCCAAAATTGGTATCAACGGCAGGGCCATCACATACGTTTGGGCGGAAAATAGGCAGGAATCGTCTCCTAGGGATTATCGAGTCAAGTCCGGAGTCTCGTCGGATTTTGTTCAATTTTATTCACCAATGGGATGCGGATGTTGATGATGAGAGCCCAGACATGCGGTACCCACTTAAATTTGGTATATTAAAATTGCTTAATAGCAGTTTATCGGAACAACCAAATGAGTATACCCTTGCTCACTTCTTACTTGGATTCGGATACGACGAACAAGACGGCATTAGTCTTAGTGTTGAAGATGGAGGCATTGGATCTGGAATTGCTCTTCTTCATAGTATTTTGGCGGTTGTGGATGATGTTGCTGTATCGGATGATGAAGGCATGGCTTTTGATGGAGCTCTGTGCCAGCTGAAGAATGAGTGTTTCACTGTATTCAAACGGCTGTGGAAAGCGTCTTCCACATCAAGTGAAATGCTTTATGTTCTTCGAGCTAACAAACTCTTGTTTTCTCAGTTCATGGGGGAGCAGATCCTTAGAACGACTAGCAAGTGGGATGGTGTTCAATTTGGTTGCCTAGAGTTCTTCCAAGAGGGTAAGGCTTTAGGGCTTTGCAATTACATTGGAAGACGGGCCTCATTATTCAATTATATTGCGCTGGAAATCCGACAATTGGCCGCTCAAGGGGCCTCAACAATGGTCTCAAAATATCTTTCAACACTGCTTGGAGTAACAAATCTCGATGGGGACCCAATGCAAAATATCCACATTATTGACCTTCTCGACTTCTTGGAACTAGAAGCGCCTGAAGCCCTACCAATTCCAAAAATTACCTATTTCCATGACCTCAACCTTGCAACATTTCAACTAAATGACCAATTCGGCAATCCGTCGTTTCACCTACCAAATATTGAACAAGTTCTACTGCTACGTAAGCAAGAGTTACTGACCTCAGGGACTGTACACCCTCATGACGAAGATGTGGTCCAAGCTGAACTCGCTGAAATTTTAAATTACCTATTTGCCGAGAACCAGCTCCGTTACTACAGAGGCGCAAGACTTGAGTGTTTAAAGTCTTGGGCAACGCTAGTTGCTGTCATGTTGGAAGATTGTGAATTCGAACCGGCGGCAAAAACCTCGTTTCTGCTACAGGCATTGCAGGCTATCATGCCGAAGGTCGAGTCGTACAGCAGCAGCGATATTGAGAGTGCTCATGTACTCAGTTCGTTGACACATTCTCTGATCACTCATCTCAGGTTCGACATCAAGACTTTCGGCAAAGGCCGGTCAAGCGACTTGGCAAGTGATCGAATTTACGACCTTTTCCGAGTTTCATTAAGGTGCATCCAGTCACCAATGGCGACAGCAAGGCTACGCGAAGACTTTTATAACATCGCATATCGGTCCCTGCAGGGCACATCGGACCTTCTACAGCAAGGAAGCGCTACCCGCAGTCACAATATCCAAACGATCAAGGCGTCCGGTGACCGCTTGTTGGAGGTTTTGTGCAACGATGCCTACTCAGGTGAGGGACAGTGCAAGATAGTTGCACTGTTACTTCTGGAGGCACTTGTTGCACTTGCTGCAGCTGAGTCATCGCATTACGTGGTTGATGCTTTGATGCGACAGAATTTCTTGGTAGTGCTCGTGGATTCAACAAAACAAATCCGCACGGACCTAGTGACCACCAACTCTAATGGTAGGTTTTCTAACCTTGGATGTTCCTTCTGCCATCACTAACAGAAAGCAGACATCCCTTACTTGATGCGTTCTTTCAAGGCAACCACTGGCTTCCTCGTCCGAATTGCACAGACTAGAGTCGGTGCAGGCCATATCATTAATGCTGGTCTCTTCAAAGCCCTTCGCGAGAGCAAGCTCTTCTCTGTTGATCCTGACCTTGGGGTCGGAATTAACGACCCCAAGGCTCTTGAGAAATACTATGAGCTTCTTACACATGCTACGCGTGTTGTCGTCGCCTGTATTCTTTCCAGAGGCCAGGCCAATCGCCAGGCAATAACCGCAGGAAAACAATTCTTGATGGAAAACCGGCCTGTCGTACTGTCGGTGTTTAAGAGGCATGCCAACATTGGAGGTCCACGAATGGAAAATACCAAAGACATGAATGAGTTGGTAGGAATGTTTGTGTTGTTGATTGCGTTAACGGATTTCGTTGAGGTTTGTTTACCCTACATGCAGCCCATGAGAGAGAACTGTGACTAATTGATTCACAGTACGAAGAGAGTCTGCCGATACATGCGTAGAGTGAGTCTAAGGTGAGGTTCGATATGCCAGTCTGTTATGCGTTATATAAAGGCACAATTGGGGTTTATGTTTTTTTTTCTTTTGATTCTGGATGGGATCATATGGGATGGTCTGTTCTTATGATACCAACCTGTTATGCTTGGACAACCCAGTAGAGTCCGCTACTGTTCTGTTTTCTTTCCTTTCTCTCGATCTTTTGATGAGTGTCGTGTAAATGTAATGTGCTACAAAATAGTTTTTTTTGGTGCGTGTGTAAGTGGAGTGGAGTATTATGGTTTCAATGGGATGAACCTTTGTGTGCATTTTTTTCGATCCTTATCAAGTGGTTGATGTAACGAGTGATGGTCTATGACTCTAATGTTGAGAAAGAGGGTCGCAACAAAGGACAGGTCTTAATTAGCAGAATGAGGGAGCGGAAACGATAAACTTCCAGATTACTACTCAATTCAAAGTGGCCTCAATAGTAACCAAACCCCGGACTCGAAAGCGAGGCTATTGACACCATATCGCCTCTAAAAATCTCTACCAGTAACACCTGTATGTTTGACGCCTTCTGTGGGAGTGGCCCCTTCGTCATTCCTCGGGCTGGGAGCTGTGCTCAACCGAACCCAGAAGGTTTCGTGTTTCGGAATTCCGAGTTCGTGGTCCTAAAGCGAAAGGAGGCTAAGCACAGTTGCTCTGAAGTAATAACCCCTGGCGGGATAATTGGCTAGTTCTAACAGAACAGGTGGGTTAATAGAGCCGTGTTAAAGTGGGGGGGAAGTTGGTTTAGTCTTGAGAGTCTCTTAAGCCCAGTAGATGTCTCAGTAACTTTTCAAGTGCCCCCGCCCAGGTTCTCAGTTAGGGTAGAGCCCTCAGCTTCAACCCCCGGGCCGCCAACCCCCAAACCCTGCAGTCCGGCGCGAGAGTACCTCTTCTCCTACTTTACTACTCTTTTGCTCCTCCCTTTGTCCACTCATCACCCCCATACCACGTGGTATGTCAGAGCACAGCTTTGGCTAGGTGTCTTTCTAGGAAGATAAAAAGGCAGGGCACAAAGACCATGAACTAACATACAGATAACACTAAAAAATCATGCTGTGGGGGCGAGAACCGGGCAGAGAACTTAGGGTCATCTGAAGATAATGCTAACGACACAACCTCAATCCATTGCAGAGGTTGCCGCGCGAGTGCAACTAACTCAAACGATGGATTAAAGCCTTAGCACTCTACATCATGGCTGGAACCCCGTACGTTACTGCGCAGAAAAGTTAAGCACGGCGTCGGAAGAATAGATGAAGCACCCTAGATTAATTATAAACAGTCGTAGCTACCAACTACACGACTGCTGGTCTGAAAGCGGTTGAGGTGAAGCTAGATATGGCATAGGCACTCAAAAATCACTGCCGACATACCACTACTATCGGTCTTCCCCTCCAAGAGATCACGGCCCGGCTATTTGGATCGCGCTACTAGGAATGTCCGGCGAGTGATATATTGTGATGCACATGGAATAATCACTACATACAAGAAAATGCAGTCCGGCGCACTTCCTGTTGTGCTTTATAGCAACCTTGCATTGCCACTTTATATTGTGGTAGATACTGCGTTCCAGTACAAGAAAGATTTAAACTAAGGTCTAAGGTTGTGCCAATCCACGATACAGATGATTGATATGCAGCTCGTCCTGACCGAAAGGTGCTCAGCGAGTACTAGAGGAACCAAAAAAAGTGCAAGTGCTATTACCTCGGAAAAATAAGAACGTGCGTACGGATCTTCACTCTATTTGTGTATGTTTGTGCTACGCAAGTTGGTTTTAGGTGATAAGCCCTTAGGGAGCTCATATAAGAGCGATGACCGACTGATAACTACAGGAGTGACTACCTTTGCGGCAATAAGGTAGCTTTAATGGGTAATAAATTAGTACCAATAATCTTGCGAGCGAGCATCGTGGAGGAATGGTTCATGTCTCAGACATTGGTAGCTGTGGGAGCTTCTTCTTTCGAGTATGGATTACTATCCTAGAGTGGTGGGAGGCCTGAAACCACAAACTGGAACTACAAAACTGTGACTATAAACTACAGCTATTAGGGTCGACTAACGGAATCGGGGTAGTTAGTGTCGGAAAGGGATAAAACGCAAATCAAACCGGATCATGGCCATATCTGTTATCTAGAGCCAACTACGCCCGCCAAATCGTCCGAGTGATAATCCATGAGTCTTTGTCAACGTTTCATGCTCGAGGCCTAGCACCCATGCAGAGCCTAGCACCATTACTTGAGAACTCCACATTTTACCTAACACCAAGCATGACTTGAGTGAGGATCATCCTGAGGGGTAAACTAAACAGACAATCCTGTCTCTCCTTCCATCGGAGCCCATCCCCCCCACTCTCGATAGCTCCCCACTCCCTCTCCTCGTTCGGGAAACGATAACGCTTGATCTCCCTCCACATGTGTAGAAATGACGCGCCGAAAGCCCAACCACGTATCTCTGTGTCACGCGAGAGTTCCCAAAGCCCGAATCATGGCGCATAAGCGAGCGCGTACCCTTGCATCGGGCAGGGATTGTTTGCTTTTTGGGTGCAGTTTTTTTTTTTTGCGTGGTGAGCTTCTTGTTGGGATCTAGTTAGTACAGATGAGTGGAGGAGTGGAGGAGGAGGAGCACTAAGATAGATAGAGGCCAGAGAGGTTTGAGGTGGGAGATAGGAAGCTATATACCACGCCCCCCCCCCCCCCGCCTCTTCCTCCTCCTCCGTTCTTTCCGAGTATCTGGGTAGCTGCTCTGCTTGGGTGGGGTATTTACATTATCTCGAGCTCCTCGTCCACCACCGCTAATATCCTCAACAAAGTCAAAGTCTCCTCCACCACCAGACAGACAGAGCATCACGATACCTCCACACCTCACGATGGGCCCTACACTCCCCACCCACGGCCAACTCAGCATGTCCGAACGCCGGAACACCTTCCCCCTCAGCAACTCGTCCCGTCAGAAGCCACGGAAGTAAAGCCCCCCTCCCCAAACCCCCCCCCCAAAAAAAAAACCACAAACTAACCACCACAGATGGCCGCTCGCCTTCCGCTTCATCAAAGGCGCCATCCACCACGCCATCATCATCCCCGTGTCCATCCACACCCTCTTCACACTCCTCATCGTCTCCCTCGACGCCCACAGCGCCTACAACCTCGGCATCCCCGCCTCCATCGTGCCCTCCCTCTCCATCGTCGTGGGCCTCATGCTCGTCTTCCGCAACAGCTCCTCCTACGACCGCTACTGGGGCGGCCGCACGGGCCTGCAGTCCATCGTCAACAGCGTGCGCAACCTCACGCGCTCCTTCCTCGTCTGCGGCCCGCTCGACGACGACCAGGACCGCGCCGAGACGGAGAAGGTCGTAAAGACGCTCGTCGCTATCATGTATGCCGTCAAGAACCACCTCCGCGGGAATTGGGGCGCGATGGAGTTTCAGCCGGAGTATCGCATGTTGGTGCCGGAGGGGCTGGACGGGCATGAGGGCGAGGGCGTGGGCATGGCGCTGGAGTTGGGGTTTGTGGTGGAGAGGTATATTAAGAGGGGCGCGAGGAAGGGTGCGTTTAATGCGCCGCAGTCGGCGATGCTGAATGGGCAGTTGAATGGCATTATGGATGCGTATGGGCAGATGGAGACTATCAAGTGAGTTCGTCGGCTTCTCTGTGACTTTGAGAGCGGGTGGGTGCTGACGGGCGGGAATGGATAGATTGACACCAATCCCCGTATGTCAGCAAATCCACCAGAAACAGGTGCTGGCGCTATACTGCTGCATCCTCCCCTTCTGTCTGGTGGACGAGATGGGCTGGTGGACTGTGCCCGTCTTATCCCTGATCTGCTTCACGCTCTACGGCATCGAAGGGTGAGTTTCTCCATCTTTCTATCATTGCCTGACACTAACTGACACTACTTAGTATCGGAGAGGAGCTCGAAGACCCATTCGGCTACGACAAGAACGACATCAAGATTGATGCCATCATCGAGGATGCCAGGCAGGAGGTGTTGGTCCTGCTGGAGGGGTGGAAGAAGGGGAGTGATGAGTATTACCAGTAGTGGTGGTTGTGGTTGGTTTGTCGGGAGTAATGGGTGTATGGGTAGTTAACTTCTTTTTTTTTTTTTTTGAATTTATGATTTTTGTGGTTTTTTGTGTCATTGACAGGATATGGGATGATGATTATTAAGATGTAAGAAGAAGTTATTAGTATTAGATAGATACCCCAGTAGGGAAAGAAAAATAACGAGTACCACGGCCATTGAAATACTATTATAGTAAGAAGCAAGAATCAAGAAGCTAGAAGCAAGAAACATCATATCTCATCTACACATAACCACGTTCATCGGGCCATATCTAGCTACATACATGTAATTAAGCAAGCCCATCCACCCCCCCCCCCCCCCCCAGGGCCCCCCGCTCTACAACCCCATCTAAATCTAAGTCTAACTCACCCCCGCCCACTCCCTAAACCACGCCAAACACCCCGCATTCGCCACGCTCGCCGACACCGCCACGTCCATCCCACACAGGATCTGCTTCACCGCAACCTCCACCTTCTTCCCGTTCGTCGTCACCGGTATCTCCGGACACGCCTCCACCACCGCCGGCACATGCCGCGCACTCAGCTCCCGCCGAATCCTGTCCCGCACCTCCTTCACCAGCTCCGCCGTCAGCTCCTGGCCTGCAGACAGCTTGACAAAGAGTACGACCTGCTCGTCTGTGTCCGTGGGGCGCCGACGGCCGATACAGAGGGCGTCGTCGAATTGCGTGGGGAAGTGTGCGAGGAGGATGTTGTACTGCGCCGTGTGTTAGCTATCTGTCTATCGAGGAGGATGCGGGGAAGAAGAGGGGGGGGGGGGGGGGAGGGGGATATTTACGATCTCAGCAGACCCAAACCTCACGCCCGCAGGCTTCAAGATGCCGTCGCTGCGTCCCAGCATCACGAGGCCCCTCGTCTCGCCCACGATCTTTACGAAATCGCCGTGATGCCAGACACCCGGGAACTGCGTGAAGTAGCTCTTCTTGTACAAGTTCTCGCCGCCGGGGCCCCAGAAGGAGACAGGCATGCACGGGAATGGCGTGAGGCATACGAGGTCGCCGGCGGTGTCATCTGGTGCTTGCTGGCCCGCAGGAGACCATGACTGCACGTTCATGCCGAGGCCGAGACACTGGATCTCGCCGGAATGGACGGGTGAGAGCGGGGAGGGCGCGCCAAAGAGGGAGATTATGTCTGTGCCGCCGGTGATCGATGCGAGGTTTACGGGGCCGAAGGCGCGGTATACGTATTCGAACGTTGAGGGCGCAAGGACGGCCGCGGTGGAGTATATAGCCTTGAGGTGCGGGAGGGGCGGGGGCACGACGGAGTGCTGCTCGAGGAGGGAGAGGTATTTGGCGGATGTGCCGAAGTGGGTGATGTTTAGTTCGCGGAGGAGGGAGGGCATGGAGAGGTTTCCCTGGGGGTGGAAGGGGGAGCCGTCGTAGAGGACGATGGTGGCGCCGAGGGAGAGCGCCGAGACGAGCCAGTGCCACATCATCCAGGTGACGGTGGTGAACTGGAAGAAGGTGGAGGAGGGGGTCATGTCGCAGTGGAGGATGTGCTCCTTTTTGTGCTGGATGAGGGTGCCGATTGCGCCGTGGCAGATACATTTGGGTTCTAGAGGTGGGTTAGTTGGGTGCTGTAGGAGGGGGGATATGGGAGTGACTTACTCCCGGTAGTGCCGGAGGAGAAAAGAATGTAGACCGGGTGGTCGGGGTCGAGCTGCAGAAACTCGAGAGGGGCGGCTTTGTCTGCGGCGGTGGAGAGAAAGTCGGCATAGACGTAGGAGTCCCCGTTTATGGGCTTTACGCTGGGGATGTCGGGGGACTGGGAAAACTTGTCGATCACGACGACGGCTTTGAGGGTGGGTAGTGCTGCGACTACGAGTTTGAGCTTGTGCATCACGTCGTGCACTTTGCCATTGTAGAGAACTGCGCTGTCGGCAAAGAGGATTGTGGGCTCTAGCTGTACGAGTCTGTCTAGAACAGCTGTAGCACCGTGATCAGGACTGTAGATGTGTATTAGTATGTCGTAGTGAAATTGAAGAGTGTGGTGAATATCACATACCTGATTCCAGACCATACGCAACCTAAAGACGTCGCTGCAAGCATTGCCACGAGTGCATCCACATGGTTCGCAACATAACCTACACAGCTTGCGCCAGTCAGTAAAGGCACCCCCCCCTCGCTCCCCTCCAGCTCCCCATAGCAATACAAAACTCACCCGCAACCCTATCCCCAACCTTCACCCGCCCCTTCATCGCCGCCGCACACGCCCTCACCCTCTCCCTCAGCTCCGCCCACGTAACAACCACCCTCTCCTCCCTCTCCGTCGCCTCCACCACCGCCACCTTCTCCGCACTGCCCACCGCCCTCGGGAACAGCAAGTTCTCCGCAAAATTGAGCTTCGCGCCGGCGAACCAAGCCGGGCGCGGATAGATGCCCGCGGCCTCGTCCACGACGGTGTCCCATCGCCGCGAGGCAACGATGCCCGTGTAGTCCCACACCTCGCCCCAGAACTGCGACGGGTTGCCGACGGACCACCGCCACAGGGAGGCGTCCTTGTCGGTCTCGGGCCCGAATTGGACGTTGTGTTTGGCGGAGATGCGGGTTTTGAACTGGTGCATTTGGGTGCTCTCGGGAGAGGGGTGCTCCCAGAGCTTGCGGCCTGGGATTGCCTCGGCGGGGGCGGGGGCGGTGTCGGGTATCATCTTTGGGGGCGAATTCTAGGTTTGGGGGGGGTTGGATAGGTACGCGGGAGCTTTGAGACGGGGGGGGGGGGGGCTTGGGCAGTTATATATGAGCTATATAACTGAGCCTCGGTCTTCGGAGTTGGCGGGTGGACCTGCGAATGGGACGCTGCTTGTTTGCCAAGTGCGTACCTGCTTTTGCGCGTGCAATTGAGCCCTCTCCTCGGTGTTGACAGTCGGTCGTGACCCGTGGGTGAGCCGTGGTGTGTATATAATATGGCCTGAGATGTTATTGGGGGTTGGGACCTGAGCGATAACTGATCTGCAGCGTCGGGAGAGGTGCGGTCTTGGCGAGACAGCGATCGGTTCCAGGATGGGATGCTCGGCTAGGGTCGGGTCGGGACGGGTGATGGCTGGTGATGCGGGTGCTCTGCGTTCCCGTGGGAGAGAGGATGCGAGGGCCTAGGGGCCTATATCCATGTAGCTATTTTGATCCATGGCTGCATCCTGAAGCACGGATGGAGATTGTGTCTTGGGGGGAGGAGCCATATACATGTATGTCTCAAGCACAGAATGCCACTCGCGGCTGCTACCGGGGACCGGGCAGACAGGTGCATCTCCCTGGGAACGACTTATCCCCCCGCGCCCTCTCCGTATGAGAGCCATAGGCATAAACATCCTGGAAATGATCAGCGCTTCTCGCTACGACAAACGACCGCGGAGCGTGTAATCTAGCTCTGTCACCCCCGGATAGCTAGAGAGCCCGAACGTCCACGTACAACGACCCAGTCCAGGCGAGCACACACACGGCCAGCCTGTCTTCCAATGGTTGTAAAACGTGGTTTTGTTGACCTGAGTTCCCCCCCGTCCTTTGAGTGTGGGCTTCAAGAATTCGCGCCAAGTATCGCATCGAGTGATATATTGTGATGTATTTTCGATATAAGGCCAAGACTGGCCACCAGTAGGAAATATAAACACAAAAGAATATAGATGAGAAACGTTTCTCTAACCCCGGACCCCCTCTATCCGGCCCTAGCCATTAATTGAATGGAGTCTAATGATCAGCTACATCGTAATAGGGGAAGAGGGGGAGACAAGCCAACGGCATAAGCCACAGAAACCAGCGTTAATTTGAGTGGCTCACGCCATAGTTCTATCTGTATCCACCAGAAGAGATAGCGGAATAATACGGAAGTTCGAGCTGTAGTACGTTACGGGCCAGAGCTCTAATCGATACCACACATGCCCCACTGGCCCTCAGTCAGGCCCACCCACCCAATAAGCCCCCAAAATGGGCAATAAATTTACAAAAAGTGATGCTGTGGCCATATACCCTTCGCGGGGGTACCTACCCAATACAGTACTGCAATATAATGGGCTACGTTTCCCGGTATATAATATACACCCCACAGACACTCCCACCCCCGGGATTGAACCCATGGCCTACTGATGGCCATGGGGACTCAACCCACTCGGTGTTCGTGCAAGACGAGCTGTCTACCCGTAGACTACACTCGCCCACACAATCTTTTAGTGCGCCGGAAGTAATACTTAAGGGAGATGGGTAAGAGGTGCTAGGGAAACCTAACCCTGCCATGGCAATTTACCACAACCTACACCACGACCCACCGGCCAACCTCTTGTAACCGAAACGAAGACAGGAACGAGTTCTTGCCTCTTTTGTACGTTGTAATGCATAGACTCCATCTGCTCTGAAAAAGTAGATTACTTGCTGTGATAGGATACCCTCTACCCACATGCAATACTCCAAGGCCCTCATGCCCCTAGCTCTAGCTTTCCGTGCCCTTTATACAGCAAAAGACATCACGACAAGTACATATGCATGTGCACAGCGCCCAGTAGCAAAACTACCCACCTTACGTTTACCGCGCCTTAGAAACCACCACCACCACCACATCCAGCACCATAAACACCCCATCCCCACCGGCCGCCTAACCCTGCAAACAAACACCGCACCACCACCACCGCACGTTCCCCTCCTCCTACGACTCAACCCAACCCATATATGACAACCCTGCACCATTCATCTAAGTTCCGCTCTCCGCCGGCTCTTCACTACTTGTATCTACACGACGCGACCCAGGCGCAAATGTATCAACTGCCCGCCCCGCGCACTCGAATCAGCACCAACTGTACGCCATACACCCGCCAGCGGAGAGAAAGGGGGGGGGGGGGGGGTTACGGTTGCAGAGGATGGCAATGGTCAAGCCGATGCTGATGATGGTGGTGAGCGTGAGTGCTGCCTAGGTTGAGTTAGTGGTGGCGGTACAGTTGTGGGGTATAAGGAGGGGGGAGGGGGGGGGGGGCATACGATTCCGTGGGGTCCCATGTTGAGTTGATGTGTGTAGTTAATGTGGGAGTGATGGAGGGTTGGAGAAGAGGAGACTGGGGGGGGGGCGTGTTATATATCATCTGGAGTTTCTTTGTGAGGAATGCGTGTTTTGATAAAGCAATATCTGGTGTTTTGGCATAAGGTGATATGGTCGTCAGGCCATGGGCCACATGCACAGGCTATGGTATGTACTTGCATGAGATATCACTCGTCGCCAGATACAGATACCCGCGGGCATTGAGCACCTTCCTTATCTCTTATTACTGGCACTGAGTATTGCGTCTTGATTGAATGTGGATAGATGCTGTGTTGGTGGTGTGCATTGGGTATTCTTTGTTTTGAAGAACGGTTAGTTTTAAATATGGATAGTTGACGTGCATGGAGATTATGCCGGTTGGGAGCGGGATGATGACGGTCATGGCCGCAGAAGGTGGTCACATTTTCCCCGGAGCAGAAGTTGGGCCATTACCTTAGATGAGAGCCTGACACCGGGCACTCGATGCCCGTCTACACATTACATTACCACTATCTACCTATCTACCTATCTACAACCACACCCAACCCCACCCCACCCCACCCCACTACCCCCTCTCCAACCCATTCACAACCATATACCTACTCAGCCCAATCCACCCCCACCTAAACCACCTCATCTGGCTCTTATGGGCACTCACCATCGCCTCCCTCGCAACCCTCACCTCCCCCACCGAACTGACAAACCAGCCCGCCCCCGCGCCCCTCCCCCCCAACACCGCCTGCACAACGCCATCCAGCACAAACAGGTACTTGCGCACGATCCCCACGGTCCCCAACATCCACAGCTCCACCCCCGCCGTCTCCGACAGCCCCAACACCCACTCCTGCGCCCCCCGCAGACACGAGATGTGGTTCGGATGCCCGGACACCCCGCGCTCATCGAAGGTGATCAGCACATGCGGCAGCACCTCATGGCGCTCGCGCAGCACGCGCGCAATGGTGGCCGACGGCCACGGACTGTGCATCTGGTCCTGCAGCTCCCTGTTCACGCGCTCTATTAGCCACTCTCGCCTACAACCCGCGGTGGGGGGGGGGGGGGGGTGGCGGTACGGATGGTCAATGCTCTCCACACGCTCCTCCGGGACGCCGAGGCGCGCGCACGAGTCGACGAGCTCGTGTTTGCGGATGTGGCCGATGCCGTCGGCGTTGCCGGTGGAGAGGCAGATGACGGAGAGGGTGTTGTTGAGGTGGGGCTTTGTGAGGGCCAGCAGCGTGGGGGAGAAGAACATGGCCTCGTCGTCGGGGTGCGCGATGAGAAGGGTGATGCGCTTGTTGCGCGGGGGCGCGGTGCGCGTGGTGAGCGCGTAGAGCCAGGTGAGCGCGAGGGTGAGCGGGAGGAGGAGCGCGTGGAGGAGGTTCATCGTGGTGGGGATGGCGGGGGGTGGTGGTGGGAGCTGGAGAGAGAGAGAGTTGAGGATAGTAGTAGAGTAGAGAGGTAGGGATGTGCGAGGGTTTCAGTAAGTAGCCTCCTCCTCCGCCGATACCTGGAGCAACTATGTAGAGTACCTGCTCTGCTATGCATAATCGACAACACCCTCTCCACGCCGAGTAGCTGGTAGAGCACTCTACATAATGCTTGGTATATCCGAGCCCACCGATCGTGACGAGATAACCTACCTGTGCCTGCTCTGCCCCCGCAGGTCTTGATGCTTCACATACATGTCGATATTGGTTTCAGCGCTGCAGGGGGCTCCACAGCGACAGAATATATATACGCAATCTAGACAACCACGTCACTCGTCGCTGTCTCTGGCAGAATGCTCTTTACTTTACCTCTTGCTCTCGGCAGTGTGTACCTACATAGATACATCCTCTCTGGCCCCGCGGACCGGAGCAATTGCTGTGTTTCAGCGCGCGGAATACACACATGTGACATGCGGGTGCTTGGCGGTGAGTGCAGGGCCTGGATCATGGCAGAGCACTCGGCCCTCTCCCGCGACCACACCGCACCGGGCTCCGAGCGGCACCCGAGACCGTAGAGAGGGGCGGAAAGGCGGGCTGCTGCTATCCAGCGGCAGCTCTGTCGAAGCCGTGCAGAGGTCCTCTCCCGGGCCTCGGATGGCTGCGAGCCTCAGTGGGCTGGTGTCTTATGTAATCCACGCGCCAGCTCAGGGGAAACCCGCCGAACGGCAGCTCCCGCTCCCGCTCCCAATCCTCCTCCACAACTCAGCTATTCACACCACAATCGCCTCACGCTCCGCAATCCACCACTTCACAAACACCCAAACCTCAATCCCAAAACACACCGCACCGCACCGCACCGCAGCAATGGCAAAACCCAAATCCAAACCCGCCAAAGACCCCATCACAATCGCCGAAATGCCGCTCTCGCGCCCCCCTCCCAGCACCAGCACCAGCACCACCGATGGCGGCGGCGGCCCACGCCCCAAAACGCTCGTGGACCTCATCGAAGAGAAGCGGCCGCGGCACCCCGACGGCACCCCGATCCTGCCCTCCGACGGCGACGACGACGACGTGGTGCTGTTCGGCGCGGGCATGACGGCGGTGACGTGGACGGTGCCGCTGGCGATGCTGCTGTTCACGTTCGACGTGCTGGTGCACCAGCAGTACGTGCAGGAGGTTGACGTGGCGGAGATCTTGTGGCGGGTGGTGAAGGCTGTGCCTGGTTCGTATTTTTCTCCTTTCCCCTAGTTTTTGTAGGAAGGGGGGGGGGAGGGGGGGGTAGAGGCTAATGTGGTGGGTGGGGAACAGCGATATTTATACTCCTCTACGTGTTCCACCCGCGGCGGCACTGGGCGAGCGTGCAGCTGTTCTTCTTCGTCGTGAGCGTGGTGGCCGGCTGCTGGGTGGTCCATGCGGTGAACAAGTATGGCTACTACAAGGTGATGAAGCGGGCGCCGCCGGTGGGGACGTTGTGGATCTGGGCGGCGGTGGAGATGACGCTGGGGCCCGTGGTGCTGAGTTCGCTGGTTGTGGCGGGGTATACGTGGTGGATGGGGTATGGGTTTTAGTAGATGTAATGGCGGGGGAGTGGGGGGCTTTTAGAATGGGCTTTGGCGGTAATATACCATTATGTTGTTGGCTGCGTAGTTGGGTTTTTTTTTTTTGGTAAATGTCTTGAATGGTGTTTTGCACAGAGTGTAGGCCGTATTTGGACTTGTGAGTTTTTGGTAAAAAGTGCAATGCTAGCTCCGAAAAAGTGCTGCCAAGATGGAAGGGCAAAGCTTATTTCAGTCATTGACTCTAAGCCCAACTGATTGAAGATGTGATTGCAGCGTGATGATATGAGAACAACGATTCCAATGTGTTTGAGTATATTTGTACTGATTATTAGATTTATATCTACGAGCCCCCCAATATACAACGCTCACGCCCCCATGCTCCCGCCATGCTAAAATACACCAGCTAAAACAATAAAACCAAATCACAAAAAGCCCCACATCAAAACAAAAGAAAGCAATCAAAACGACAAAGGAAATAAAAAAACTATAAACAAGTACGCCCCCCATCCCCCCATCCCCCCATCCCACCTCATAAACCTAAACACTAAGCATCATCAACAATTAGGACTGCCTCCTCAAGTTCATCTGCAACTGCCTATCCAAGTCCGCACTCTCCATCCTGCCATGGCCAACCCCAAACTGCACCGGCGCCCCAGGGTGGAACCTAAACTCGACCGGCGTAGCCGGCACCTCGCCCTTCAACCCCATCTGCGCCAGCTTCTCCTTCACGCCGTCCCTGCTGGCCTGATTCGAGACCCAGCTGTTGACAGTCCTAAACTTCGGCTCCTCGCTATCGACGCTGCTCCTCTTCGTAGTCCACGAGAACCTCGACACCTGCGGGACCGGCGGCTCCGGCGGCGGGCCGAACGACGCATACATCTTCCTCGCAGCGGCCTTCTCCGGGTACGGCTCCGTCTGGCTAATTGACGACTCCATGCCAGGGGACCGCATCTCCTCGTAGACGGGCGGGAGGGGCTCGGCGGGGTTTGCGGTTTCGGGGCGGTAGAAGGTGCCCGGGTCGACGTTGTGCGTGGGCGGGTTGATGAAGACGAGTGGTGGGGGCTTTGGCATTCCCGGGGGCGACGGAGGCGGCCCCGGTGCGTTGGCTGCTGCCGCCGCCGAAGAGGGTGCTGGGCGGGGCGGCGGGGTAGGGGTAGGGGTGCTTCTCGTCGTTGTAGGTGACGGGGGCGGGGCGGGCTTTGCGCACGCGGTAGAGGAGGAAGGCGATGAGGGCGAGGACGAGGATTCCGCCGATGGTGCCGCCGGCGATGGCGGCGTTGCGGTTGTGGGTGTTGGCGGGAGAGGGGAGGATGTTGGGGAGGGCGGTGGGGGTGGCTGTACTTGTAGTAGATGGGAGAGTGTCGGCTAAGGCGGTGGTGGTTGCGGTTGCGGTTGCGGTTGGGAGAGAGGCGGAGATGGTGGAGCTGATGGGCGGGCGGTTTCGGGAGTCGTTTTGTGAGGACTGGGTAAGTAGATATTAGTATATATAGATCTAATGAATGTCTGAGGATAAATATAATATAACACATACATCATCGTCATCCTCATCATCACTAGCATCGTCATCGCTATCAACTTCGTCCTTCTCAGCTTTGATATCCTTATCCAGATGCACCGCATCTTCAATTGTCTGATTCAGAGAATCCGAGTTCTCCTCTGCCTCCCGGCGGTCAAGTGGAATTGCGGAGACTGCCGCAGCAGCGCCGAGAAACAATGCATATCTAAGGCGGAGGTTGTTGTTTGGCATCTTGATAGTTTGCTAATGATATTTTTAAGAGTAAATTGTTTTTGAAGGTGTAGAATATTTTGAATGCGAGGAGGCAATGAAGCGGTCGCAATTCGGAGCAGGAGAGAGGTCGTTATTGTAAAAATGTGGTACGTGCCGGACGTAGACTGGAAAAATATAAAAAGTGGTAGATATTTATTTTTACTGGAACCACAAATTCAAGGCACTGCCCAGAGAGCTAGAATCGAGCCTGTCGAAGAGGAAAGAAGGAAAGAAAAAAAAAAGGAGAAAAAAGTTTGCTCACCAAAGGAACGTAAGGTGAAAGTAAGAAAAGAAAGGAAGAAGGGAAGAAGAAGGAATGAAAAGAATCGAAATATTCGAAGAGTGTATGAAGTGAAGATGAAGCCCGTTCAGTCACAAGTCCAAAACTCGTAAGGAAGCGGATGTTGCCCACCAATGTATATAACCCTTTGGCACCGTACAAGCTGGAACTAGTCCGTAGCGCGTAAACAGGGGCATCCTATACTTAGTTATCCACAACCCACTGTACGTAGGTACATTTTGATTTGTGCATGAAGCCGCCCGCAAGACGATCATTTCAACTAGTCGGGGCTGGTACGGCCCCCCCTAAAACGGGCATGAAACCATATGTGTCTCACATCAACCTTTCAATACAAAAGGAAATCGGGGTAAAAAGGAAAGCCTCTTATGTCTGTAGCGAAGTGAGGGCTTACTCGGATGAGTCCCGGATTATGCAAGATGTTATGTCTTTCTTGTCTAGAAGAAAGGAATATTAGTACGGTAGTGTTATGAAAGCAGTAGTCTGGACTTACTGAGGTTGAAGGGGGGTACCCAGTTAGTACCCGTTGCTAACCCACAACAACAAAACCGCCTCCCACAGGCAACCCCTTTACCAGCATTAGGTACCTCCAGCTCCCGGCTTAAATTGATTCCTCTCCAAACAAACTCTAGCGAGAAAACTTCCATTACACAAACACCGTCGGTCTTCTACACGAGTGGTAGAGTGGAGCCCGGACATGACGAGGAAGGACGAGGATAGCTACATCGAATAGATTGCTCGGATTAAATTTCGTTAAAGGACCTTGTCGCCAGGATGACCATAACTCGGATGGAGCCGAGCTAATCATATCAAGGATTAAGCAGATCTGATCTCGTTGTTTTGCCAAGGAGCTGAATGGTGGTGAATAATTGGGTATTGGAACGCCCCCGAATAGTAGACGAAAAAAAAAGAGGCATAGTTGAGCTTGCAATTATAGCCTACCCTAGATAGCCATTGTGTACCTAATTATGTATTCAGCTCTTTTGCATCCTCCTCTAGTCACGAGAAAACTTCACGTCCAATCAAACCCCACTTGGCAGGAAACATACTGGTACCTTCAACCAGCCAACCAGTAACGTACTAATAGTAGTGCTTCTAAGCACTCGAAAAGAACTACTCTCAAAAGACTAAAGATAATCCGAAACGTTGCAGTTTAGTTGCTTCTATTTGACGATGAGTTTATTCTTCTTCCGGGGTACGTTAGCTGCGCATGTGAGATAGAGCAATCGTGAATTCCTCAGCCAGCGGCTACATAAACCCCAAGAACCTCACGAAGCGCCACTCGCACCTTCCCGCTTCTCTTCCCCATTCACCCCTCCACCTATTTTACTTGAGGCTCCGACGGGCATACGTACCCCGACGTCTCGAGTTACCTTTCCATAAGTGACCTGAAACGGGCAAGATCTGGAATTGTCACTTCAAGGCTTGAGTTACCTCGATCTCGTAGAAGGTTTCGAAGGGTTGACGTATGTGCCCTTTTGTTCGCGACAAGACAAAGTAAGGCACTTTTCGAGATGTCGATCACCAACAGGTAGAGGAGAAAGGATGCCTTGTGGGTGTGTGGATTTCCGGTGTTTGGGAGAAAGTAAAGGTGCGGCGACGGCGGTCCTGGGAGGTGGCCGATTCGCTCGCTCTAAGAGAAGAGGATGTAGCTTCCCATCCGGCACCGACCACAAGGACCTGGTAAACAAGCCAAGGAGCTTCCGCTCGCATAATCCCTAGTCTGCAGCAATCAAAGGTAAAACTTTGTTTCTGTTTATTGATGTTTATTCTTATTCTTATTCTTATTCTTATAATATATCCAAGCCCGACGCGAACTGCGCAATTGATATCGGGCCCTACATGTGCTTCTTCAACGACCAGGGGTGGTGCACGGTGGGTACATGTACCTACATCCCACGGCTATTTGTACCTTGCAATACGTTACGCACACCCCCTCAAACAAGAGTACGTATGTGTGTGTATGTTTCTTTGGTCCGGGAAGGAGGGAAATAATAGGCAGGAAGGCTTATAATTCTGTGGGGTGATATGATATGATTCGCAGCCAAATAATAAGAGAGTGTTTTGTTCGGTAGGGATTGCATATAACCGGAGGCTCGACTTGGAGACGAGACGAAGAAGCAGCTTGATTGGTCTGGGGGGGATCCTCGTACCTATATAGTTGTTACCATGCTATACTAGCGACCTGCATGTCATGTCTCCCAAACTACATGTATACATCCTGCCCTATCCACCAGTGCACCGCCGGGACCATAGCGTTTGCTCAATACAAGTACATGAACTGATTTGTTTGTGGGGACAAGAACAGCTCATTGAGATTCGAGATATAGTAGAGTCGAAACGTGATTGATGCGAGACAGAATTTTTCTTTACTCTGTTTCACTCTTCACTTAACAACGTTACCATAGCTAACGTCTCTCCCTCGAAGCACAATCGGCCCAGTTCGGGTAAAGGGTATTTCTTATTTGGAAACCAAGTAAACGGCAATTACACGCCGTAAAGATATCGATTTCCCGGCGGACGTTGGTGCAGTGATTTCCGGCATGAGATATCACTCGTGGTGCACATCACATACGTGTATAGGATTTCACCCGTGTAAACATGCAGTTTCAGGGCCCAGCCACGGCGGTTCCCCGGTAAAGTACTGCAGGAAGACTACGTAGTCATTATTCTGGGTGGCCTGTAATCGAAGACTCGAGCAATTACAAATGCATTGTTTTGACCTGCCGGACTGCAGAGGAAAGAGAGGGTGACAGGCTTCTAGGATCCTATGATGGCGACAAAATCTATGAAAACTCAATATGGACTGTTTGGAGCCACGTTTAAACTACATATACAATACATGATGTAGTTGTCCACAACAGTTGGAAATGCCAGAACGCAGTAGTATTCAGACCACCTCACAACAAGCAACGGCTGGCCCACAAATGACAACAGTGATATCTACATGTATGCATGCACATCTATTTCCCTTGACTCGTATCTATTGAACGAACTTCTAGACAGACGCGGTAAGCATCTAGAAGGCAGTCTTTTATCACAGCCGAAACACTTCCTTCGTCCCCATCCAGGAGAAAGGCTGACCACTTTAACAATCAATCCCGCCGAAAGCTACTCGGAATAGACAGCTGCAGTCTTACAGGACCGATAGCACAGTCGCAATCAGGCTTCCAGCACCATGGGTCATAGCCGATGAAACACCCAATAACTTCTACCCCATCCCGCATACTCCGCGACGCCAAGTGTGCGCGAGGCGGCAGTTCACTCTCCACCATTCCTTTGACGCCGTTCCAATTCAAGCATCCCATTACTCGACGGCTAATATTTCCAAGTTACACCTCTAGTTTGGTGGGGAGGAGTAGGCCTTTCCGACGGGTTTCATTGCACACCCAATGACGGAGAGAAGGGCAGCAATTATAACCGGATTTAATAGCTATAATATCCCAGCTAATGAGCACTCCTGAGAAGCGTATCTTAGCATGGACTCGGGAACCGGGGATTGGAGCTTCTTTGCTGCTTGGCTAGGAATGTCATCGATCCTGATGGGGGGCTGCTTTCGAGGTGCCGGCTTGACATTGCTGGTTTATCTACTTATTCGGCAATAGTAGTGTCCACAGCACCAGTACAGCGAAAGTTAAAGAGTGGGTCGGGCTTACGCACACCGGATTTCACCCCTATGACAGACATAGCCGTGATGGACAAGTCGCTATATCAATTGTCCGAGCACACTACTATGGGAGTTAAAAGCTGTGCGACAAATTTGTTCCTAGGCGCCAGCCCAGTGTAGAATTTCCCAGCCCATGGCCAGGGGAATACCTGATCCCGTTTCCTTTCCTTTTCTTGACGCCAGCGCAAACTAAACTACTTGGACACTATCACTCGTCAGAGTGAACAATAAATAGAGCGAGTGGTGCTCCCCCAACCGCCATGGAGTACCCAGTGGTGCCTAGTGGTGCCTTGCCCATGTGGCACTCCAGCTATATGCAGCTACAAATTTATCCCCCCATCTGTTAAAAAAATCTGCAATCTTCACAGCTATAAGCCAGAGCTGTATACTCGCAGCTCAACAAACCAAATAAAACAAACCCAACAAACCAATCCCAATAAAATATACTAAGAAAAAGAGAAGAACGCAATAAATGAAGGAAAATCAAGAAAAGAGGTCCTATCAGCAGACTTAACTCACGGTTCCAGTCCCCGTGCCGTTCTCAGTAATAATAATCTTCCTGCGATGCAGGCCAATTGGGTCATCAAACCTAGACACCCTCTCCCTCTTTGGAGGCGGCGGAGGCGGGGGAGGAGGAGTGGCATCACGCACGGGTACCAGGTCCACCAGGTCCATTTCCATGTCATCCTCGTCCTGCTCATGCGAATGAGCATGGTCATGGGTTTGATCGGGTTCTGCCATCTCCTGCTCCCTCTCCTGGTGCTCCTGAGGCCTGTCTTGCCTTTGCGTCTCCCTTTCTCTCTCGTGCTGTGGGGGCACCGGCTTCTCCTGCTCCTGCTCCTTCTCCTTCTCCTCGACCCCATTCTCCCTCATGATACCCCTGACCTTGTCTTCAATCTCGCACCTCCGCTCCGCCAGCATCCTTTCCACCTCCCTCTCGGCCTCGGCCAACCCTATAAAGCCCTCGAGCAGCTCCGCCGCCGAGCTCTTGTCGCGCACAAGCAGTGTTGGGTCGCGCTCAATCTCTGTAGTTGTTGTTTGCTCAATCCTTAGGGTGAACGACTTGCCCGCTTCCTATACACACATGGAGAGTTGTCAGCGAAAGCTCCTAATTTAGCTGTATCTCCCGTGGCAAAACCTACAGAGTCGGCAAAGTTCTGGTAGATGTCCTTCCGGAGGGTATCAAAGTGGCCGCGTTTCTTGTAGGTCGTTTTGAGGTTGTTGATTGTAGTCTTTGCGGCCGCGGTGAGAGGGGGCGGGGGTGCTGGGCGGGGTTGCGAGTGGTTTGAGTGGTGGGAATTGTGGTGGTGCGAGTGACGGGGCGGGGAGGTGGACGAGGGGCGGTAAGAGTCGTAAGAGTCGTGAGAAGCCATTGCCAGCAGAAAACCTGTGAAGACGGAGTTATATGTGTGTGGATATGAGGTAATTGAGTGCAGATAGCGATGCTGTAGCGAAGGTGACGTGAAGGTTTGGCGCGTCGAAGATCGGCGTTTTGCGGCTCTTGTGGATGCCAAGCGAGATCCTTTCGATAAGCGTGCAGGAACATTTCCGCCAGGCCTGGGCGGATGGAAGGAGATGGCGTGCAGAGCAGACAGAGTGAACTGCACGTAGGGCCGTGGAAAGCCCAAGTGTGGGGAACTGAGAATTGGGAACAGAATTGATATTCCTCATAGAAACCTCCCAGCGAATACAGCTTCAATTCTGCTGTTTCTCCAGTCTCAATCCTCGGTCGCGATTCCACTCAATTCGATCATTCACCCCCCTGCGCTTATCAGATTCTTGAAATTTTCTCGGCCCGCGCCCCCACATCAAGCAAAAGATCATTACCAGGTCAACGTTCCCGCCTCAACGACAACCCCTCGAGACATCAAAAGAGCTCTCCTGGGACTGCAGAGCTCTCGCCCCCTCACCTACACTCATTCACCAACTGTCACCCGCATCAATTGCGCGGCGGGCGACCCTCTCCTTATGAATGGACTACAGCCCGTCTCAATCCGCGCATGCACCCGACTCCGCTGCCTGCCGAAGCCTCCGCGCCCAGCATCATGCCTCCCCCGCCGGTACCTGCTCTCCGGTGACGGCCCCCTTAACCACCACCCCCTCCGCACCCCGCAGACCCCCCCCCCTGCTCCCACCCCCGCTCTCGACCCCGCCCTAACGGGCCTCACGCCAATCCCCCTCACCAACCGTGAGGGCCCTATCCGGCGCCTCCTCGCCGCCATCTCCGCCCGCAGGGACCCAGCAATCTGGCACCACTTCACCGCCATCGCCGCCGCAGACCTCACACCCCGCCTCACCGCCGCAGACTTCTCAAGCATCCTCCTCTCCCTCCGCCCCGCACGCTACGTCTCGCTCAGGGCACGGCACTACCTCAACGACCTCGGCCACCCCCGCCTGCTCCCGCTGCGCATCTCGTACGACGAGTTCCGCAGGAGACTCCATGCCGTGTCCGTCCAGATGGAGGCCAACGGCTACCAGATGGGCGTGCACGAGTACACCCACCTCCTCGACTGCGCGCGCGCCGGCAAGGACCGCGTCCTCGCCGAGCAGCTCTGGCGCCGTATGGCGGCCGCGGGGGTCGCCCCGGACACGTGGGCGTATAACTCGTACATGGCGGCGCTGTGCGGGACGGCGACGTTTGAGCGGGAGCTGCGTGTCACAGAGCGGACGCTGGCAATGCGGTCGGCGACGCCAGAGGACGTGAGGACGAGGGCCATGACGATATATCGCAGCATGATTGACCGCGGGGTTGTGCCGAACAGTATGACGTTTGATCTGCTGCTGCTGGCCATGTCGCGCATGGGCGATATCGGCGGCATGTGTAGGACGCTGAAGGAGGTGTGGGATGTGGATGTGGGGGCGCTGGCCACGCGGAAGGAGACGCCGGCGCCGGCGGTGGGTAAGGACTCGCCGCTGTGCCCGACGCAGCATACGTTGCTTGCGGTTGCGGCGGCGTTTGGTAGTAATAATGATGTGGAGAGCGCGGTGAGAACGGTGGACCATCTGGCGAGGAGGTATAAGGTGCTGATCTCGAAGGCGACGTGGGCAATGCTGCTTAATTGGACGTATGTGGCGACGAGGCCGCCGGCAAAGTATCTGCCCAAGTACAGCCCGGTCAATCTGTGGGACATCATGACGGCGCCGCCGTACTCGGTGGGGCCTACCATCGAGATGTACGACTATCTCGTGCGCTCGCTGATTGCGCGGAAGATGCATGAGAAGGCCATTGTGGCCATCGGCGATGCGCTGAAGATATATGCTGCAGATGCCGCGGCCAATGGGCATGTGAACGGCGATGAGAAGGAGATTGCATGGCGGCGGAGGATGGAGTTCAGGGAGCGCAGTATGATCCGCCGGTGGGCGGAGCTGCTGTGTCTGGGGAAGGGGATGAGGCCCGGGCATGCGAGGACGCTGGTGCCGGATGTGGTGCGCAAGCTGGGCTGGTTCTTGGGCGATCGGGTCACGTATGTGATGACCACGGGGTATGTCACGCTGGAGAGGGGCAAGGAGTATGCGTGGAGGCCGATGAGTATTCGCCGGAGGAAGAGGGTGGGGACGCCGTTGGGGACGGGGTCCAAGGAGATGGATTATCTGGATTAGGAGGGTGGTCTTTTGTACATAGTACTAGTTAGTTGGCTGTATGTAGTTCGTTTTTTACTATCTTTTTTTCTTTACTTCTATTTTCTTTCTTTGTCTTTACTTTTTTTTTTTTTTTTTTTACAACTTTGCGTTGGGAAGTTGTTGATATCAAAAAGGGGAGGGGGTACTTATATGCAGTAGAGGGTTTAGAGTGGTTTAGTTTAGAACTTAGTGGTAGGAGATGTATATGGAAATTCTGTGAACATATCATAGCGTTAATCCCGCTGTAATAGAGCTGACTGTGACTGTCTAATATATGGGTTGGATGCTTTCATATTGTGGGGGTGAATGATCGAGGACGCCAAGAGATCTAGAGTCAATGACCGGGCAGTAAAAGCGCCGGGTGTGCGCCATGAGGTTCGATGGGTTTGGGTCATTACTCGCCAGCGCTGGTGTCACTTGAAACCTGTGGATAACGAGTGATATCTCATGCAAGTACCATGGCCAGTGAAATGCATGTGGTCCATTGACGGCCATATCACCCTTAACTCAAAAAACGAAAACCAGATACATTATATATCGTACATGTAGCATGGCCAAGCCACCTATTGCTCCCCACTATCCCCTCTTCCGTCACTCCCAACCAAACTCACCGCCGCCATACACACCCACTGGTCATATTTAAGACCAGCCCTGCCCGAAAGCTCTTCAGAACAAAGAAGACTCAATGCATAACCCAGTCCACTACCAGCACAGCACCTACATCCACACCCACATCTAATCCAACAAATAGGCACAGCTCATCACTATTCGAAGCTGAAAGAGCTATTGGCACAGCTCAATGTCCCATGCGTGCTACTATTCATGAATACGTGTAGCCATACATATGGTATGGCCCATCAAGCTTTCGGCATACCGACTAGCAATCTCATTTTGGAAGATCTCAGGTTAATGGTTTGACTCAATTCCTACATATCTACATGCATCTACAGCCTGGTTTATATGACTACGTGACTGAGTTCGGCTCTAACTACACCATGGCAGCTGGAACTATATTAAACCAACAGATAAAAGAATATTACACACAACATCCTTCTAGCAGCATTACATACTGCCTATATTGCGTACTATTGGATCTGTCCCGGAATACCTGCCCATAGATATAACTATGTGTAGACCGAGACGTTCTAAGATATCACAAGACCCGAAAGACCGCAGGAGGGAATAAGATATAACGGCGTAGGTGGGGATATATCGATCCTTCGATTCTTCGCAACTTATATACACCCCAAACGACACTTATAACATCTTATTATCAAGACTTTACTCAACCAAGACCAGCGAATCTACTCAAAACCCCTCATACAATCATTCAGAAGAAGAAACTGCACCCATTGAACCAAGGAAAAGGTATCTAAATTAATTAATTCTATTCCACAGCTTTATCCTCTACCATCTCTAAAAGATACGACAGCACCTTACCCGCCGTCCGCCCCACCTCCCCACCATCCTTCTTCAAGCTCGCCAACCCCATACTCAGGAGCGCCAAAATATTCTTCCCCTGCCCATCCGTCAGATACCTCCTCCTCGCATCCACATCCTCCGGCTCCCCCGTCGCAAACTCCCCACCCCCACTACTCGCCGGCGGCGCCCCAAACAGGTTCAAATACGCATACGTATTCGACCTATCCGGGAGCCGATACACCTCAGCGTCCCCCCAGATACCCCTCACCCCCTCCATCTCCTCCTCCGCATCAAAACTTCCCAGTCCCTTCTCCAAAACATATTTCAGCACCTCCAAGTGCGCCATCACCACCTTCATCTCCTTCCCCTTCGGCACGACTGCCTTCACGCCTGCTCCATTCCAGCCCAGACACCCCGCAATACCCCTCAAGCTCGCGCCCCATCCGCCGCCGCCGAACGCGCCCTCTGGGTCGACTCCAATGGCCCATTGCAGGAACTTTGTCGAGTCCGCTCGAATCTCCTCGGTGATGTGTGTTGTGGCCGAGTTTACGAAGAGAAGGATCTTGGGGATGTACATTGCGACCTGGGACGTTGGGAGGAGCTTGAACAGGGCGAGGAGGTGCGTCCGTACGAGCTGCGAGGTGTCGAGCATGAGGGGTGTGAGGGCGCTGATGATGGCGGACATGGGCGGCACGCCATTGCTGGAGGTGGAGGTTTTAGAGGAGGCGTAGGCGAGGGCGTTGGGGAGGTGTGTGGTGAGGTAGGAGAGGGATTCGCGGCGGGTGGCGGAAGAGTGGTGCTTTAGGAGAGTGAGGTGGTGGGTGAAGAGGTAGGAGACGCTGGGGGCGGAGGTGTGGAGCGATTGGGTTGCGACGACAATTGCTGTACGGCGGCGCTTTTGTTAGTCTTCTTCTTCCCTCTGAGCAGGAGCAGGTACTGCGGACTGACCTTTTGACTTGAAGGATGTGTTTGTGAAGTTTGCGGCCTTGGGCTTTGTCTTTCCGACCTTTAGTTTTGGCTTCTGGAAGTCCTTGAGCTTCTCCTTCTTTTTCCTGTTGCTGGAACCCATTTTTGTGTCTGTCGCAGTACCGGGGTGTTTTGCGCCGAGTGAAGTTTTCGGGGCCGTTGAAGGATCTGCAATTATTTGGTTAGTTGGGCGGACAGTAGGGTAACCAGGCTATTGATATGCAGCCTTATCGATACCATGCCTAAATTTGGAAGCTCTATTAATTCTGATCCAAGTCGATCAAGGGTCTTGGCTGTGGTGGTTACACAGTCTATTATCTGTGGATGTTGAACTCGGGAGTGAGAGGTAGGTTGGTGCTCGAGTGGGCTTATATACATCTAGCTCGTTAATTATGTGCAAATCTCATTTACCTATGATCCTTACAGTTGCTGCCCTAAGCTGACATGGCCAGAAGATAAGTCATCGTGAGGCAAGTATATACTGGGTTAACCATAAATACCGAGAATCTGATAAGATAAACACACCTATTTCACAGCAAGATTCTGTTATCAGATTCTTCGTATTTACCCTCAACGCCCGGTACAGTGGTTTTCTGAGTGAGAGGGCCCGCGGTGATGATACATAAATCAAACTAAAGTCGACGACGATAATAGGTAGCAGTTATGGACGAAAACAGGAATATTCTTATTCCAGTTAGGGAATTAATTCATAGCCAAGTTAGAACCCACTCCAAAATAGTTCTATGTTTAAAAAAATAAAACACCGCAGACGAAAAAAATACCAATTGTTCTTAACCATGAACTTCGTGAACTCTATATGTACTACTCTGAACCATGAGCACTGACAAAGAAATTTTATACTCAGTCATACTATATGCCAATCACAGTAATTCGGCGGTGAACATCCGGGAGGGGCCAAATAAACAGAAAAAAACTACAGCAAGTTAATTAAATTAGCTAGGCCTGCAGTGGTTTCTTCACGCCCGCCCCAATATTCGGAGTACCTGACCGAGTAGGTATTACAGAGACGGGAATATGCATATACTGAAATAATAATTAATACTTAATTCTTAATTCTCCGCTCTCTCGCCTGCAGACAGTACTTCCAAAGCTGCTATTATGTATCCCCCAAATGTCTTGGCAAGTAAGATCTAATCTAATCTCGATCATTAAATTACTAACCGCTGCGTTGCTGTAGTAACCAATTGTTTACGCGAGTGATTTTTTATGTCGCCACGTGAGTATGGTACATGTAGCAGGCTTTAAATACCATATATATTAGCCATTTCACATCGGTAGACATAATCCCACACTAAGTAATGCATATTAAGACAGTTTTGTGATTTAAAGCATTTGGGACATATGTGTTCTGGAAAGAATTTTTAGGGCAAGAATTTAGGGCTTGGCTCAGGTTATTTTGTTAGTGGGGGTCAACGAAGACAATGTTCATACACGAATTCTCGACTGTACTGTCCACGTCTGCCCAACCCCGTTTAAAACATAGGTAAAAATATATATCGCTATCAAGTAAAATTCCTGTTGGATGGACCAAGAATTATTTATTCACGTAGATCCCAAGGTTGACATGCAAAATTAAAGGAAGCTGGAAGCTGACCCAAAAGCGATCGAGTGGAAGGATATAAATGTACATGATTTTATAAATCGGCCTCCTCCGGTAGGAGTGACGCGCGCGGTGAGCAGGGTTGCGAACTGCCAATTCGTGAATATATAGGCCAATCCATTTAGTATTTATATGGATATGTAACCTGCCAGGAAAGTAACCTGAGTAATCACGTCTAACCAGCAGAACATATATGTATTTATGCGCTAGAAATGTGAGAAGAATGCTCTAATTTATAGATTTTTAACATGGCCCCATTTCCGTGCTACCCCGAGCTCCGTCTCTGCCCGAGTGCTCCGAAAAATTTGGGAAATTTCATATATAGGGTTAATTACATGTAATTACCTTAAACCCACCGCCACAGATATGAATACAGCCTAGCCCTCCGATAATGTTATAAGAAAAAGTAAGAAAGATATGGTAATATTAAGAAAAAAGAACTAATTGCTAACAAAGTTCTAACAAGTGGCAGAAAATAAGAAATAGGAATTAATGGTAAGATAAGGAAAAGTATGAAAGAAGAACCAGGTGAGTTGTAGCTTTGGCACAAAAAAATGTGGCTTAGGAACTTACTCCCCATAATTCACCCTTACGAGTTCCATCATCTGAATTTTCTTCTTCAACTCTCTGATCACGTTGCCTGGAATGCTCCCGCTAAATGTGATTTCACACTCCGGGTTCATCTCTTCCAGCGCTTCAGGAAGATCTGTGATATCCTCCACGCAAGTCAACCCACTGATAGTTATTTTCTCCAGTTTCTCCCCCGCTCGGAGCAAGCCACTCCAAAACCTCGTTTCTTGGGTACCATGCCAGCGCCTCTCGTTGCCGTTGAATGCTACTATCCCTACGCTCAGCTCGCGGAGATCGTGAATATCTAGGCCAAGCTCGATGATCGCAAACGCGCTGGCGTCCGACACAGTTAACTTCTCGAGTGGAGGCGGAAATGACTTAAATTTGCGGTGCTCGAAGTTCACAGGACAACAAATTTGACGTGAGATCCTGTGTCGACTCGGTAGGTCTCCCATGGCTGACTTGGCGTTGATGCTGATATCCCGAGTATAAATTCTATATCTAATAGTCTTCATATCTGATGTAGATATACATGACCCATGAATTATAAGCTTTTTGCAGATAATGGGCGTCTTCATTATTGACAGAATCTGACAAATGCGATTGGTTTCGGTGTGCATAATCGTGATAGATTGTAGTCCATTGAATTTACTTGTTAAGATAAATTCTACAATTGCACCAATATATAATCATGTTAGTCGGTCTGCTATTATATGTTATACGTTATTGATTTTGTGTAGATTATTTACCTGCTGAATGATGGTTGATACCCATGAGACAGAGATTGCGGATCGCCAACTCCCTGCGATTCTTGGAGCGAAGCTTTGAGTCGAGCTTGAATATATCCTTCGAGTCTCCGGTAAACACTGATATAACCAGCATCTTTATCTTGTACTCAGTTGCAATCTTAGCTACAGTTGCTGGACTCGTCGTCTGGGGTCCGGGCGAAACACCCTGGTTGTCATTTGTACTTCTCCGGTCATCAAAGACTGAAGTAAGAAACTATACCACAGGCGTTAGTCTAAATTTTATATGAACAAGAACAGAAGAAGGAAAGCTAAAATTAAAATACCATTTGTGGTGGGCAATTAATAATTACGTTCCTCCATTTTTGGCAGACGTGACCCAGAACACACACCGACTCAAGTGGTGACCCAAAGGAAGAATTCGAATCGTCAGATATCCCTTGGAGATATTCCTTAAATATACAGACCAATATCTCCGTTGGAAGAAGATTAATATTAAGGTTCGTACCCGGTGGAAGGATTCGAGCCCTCAATCTTCTGGATCTGCGTGTCGCCTCGGCCCCAGTTGTGCGCTGCCGTTTTGTCACTGGAGTCGAGAATTCTTCTGATGGATCCACAGGAGTAATTCTGGCAGCAGAAGCTTTACGTTTCACCGGCATGGTGATTTTATATAAAGATATTTGTGCGTATGTAAAAGTAGTTTGGTTTAATGTTGTGAAAGTGTTTATCGAGAGATCTGAAATTTGTGTGTTTATGTAAATGAGAATGGAGACTGCGAGGAGAAAGATTAGGAGAGAGAGGAGGAGGGAGAGGAGGGGAGAGAGGTGGGGAGATGGAGGAGGAATTCCGGGGTACTAGGAATTGAGAGCACGTGACTTTAGCTATTGGTCTTTAAACACCAAGGTACGCTTCTTTAGAGTTCCAAACCGCAGTGGGAAATGAAACAACGATGAAGAACGAACGAGCAGCTGTGATGGGGGAAGAACAGAGGTGATGTACGAATAGTTTGCCGTGTAGCTGGTTGTCATTCATTCACGGGAAAGCCTTCAACTTGTGTGTTTACTCTCTCTATCGATAAGAACGAGGATCATAGCACTAGAGGGCGGCAGCTTGCATCCTTCGGGCTAGAATTTACAGGGTAGCTAGCGGCCTCGCCTACTTAAACTTGTGCTTAAATATTACGAGTCTAGAGAACTTTGATGTGGCTAGATTGCCTCACGGTACTTGTTGAGGTGGGTGGGACGAAACAACCCGTTAGAGAGTTCACAAAAGAATACATGTAGTAAATAATAGATGTGCGCACCGCACAGGTTGAATGATGAGGATGTATGAACGAATTTCTGTAGCTAGCCCCAATTCAAACTAACTCCTTAAGCCTGATGCTACAATTGCATGTAATACCCCACAACCAATCAAGGCAGAATAAATTTACTAATACAGAGCAGTGTAAGCAGATTTGGGCGCTCTCATTGATTCGCGCCTAGATACATGTAAATACATGTACCACTTTCATTAACAGACTACATGTACCGGGGGTTAACCATAAATACCGAGAATCTGACACCTATTTCACAGCAAGATTCTCTTATCAGATTCTTCGTATTTACCCTCAACACCCGGTACATGTAGTTTGGGAAAGAGGTCTAGTTAGCGCGGTGACATGCATAAATCATCGATATTGCAGTGATAGATCGATTCAATTATGGGTAGCTGCAATTCAAAACCTCATGCCTATGCATAAATCCATGAAGGAGTCAAAATGGGCGAGTTTTGTGAAATTGGTCAAGCCAGCGCAGACGAATTCGAGGTCTTGGCAGGAAGTTCAGGATTGCATGTATACAAGGCGCTAAGTTAATCTCCTGGAAATTGGTATTTTGAAAAAAAGGGTTGAAAAATGGTTGATTTACATGTAGGTATGTCTGCAAGAAGTACATATAACCAAAACGCGCTGGATTCGAATAATTACAAGTTGTTTACTGAAGAAATCAACCCCTCATAGAACTAAACTAAAAAAAAAAAAAGCGTAAGGCTCCAGCAAATAGGACATAAGATGAAACAATTAACCCCCAGAATAAACAAAGGAAATAAAGTGAAATAAATAAATGGCTATACCATGGCCAATATACCAGAAACAAACGAAAAAGATCGCCCCCTATGATACTGCTATACGCATTACGTCTCCATACTTAACTATACATGATAATAATAATAAAAACTAAATACAGGAATCAAAAACGAACCTCCCCATATGGATATGACTATTAGGAGACGATAAATAAAGAGCAACCCCCCCCCCAAATCGAGGTATCCCTGCTCTACCTCCCATACTCAACCAAGCCCCTGTATCTCCTGTACTGTGGTCTCGAAGGCCCCCTCCTGCTTGTGCTACTATTCACTCTCAGATTCCTCATTTGTTCCTGCATCGACTCATCTGCGCTCTCATACTCATAGTCCCCGTCTTCTGCGCCCCCATACCGGCTTCTTCTGCGGCTGGCACTCCTCTTCGCCCCTACACCATGATACCCCACATATTTTGGTTCTAGCCTTCCCCTTTGGTGTTGCGGAGTGGTTTCATACTGCATCTGCATCTCAAGCGCCGGCTTGGCATCTACATAATAATCTCCTGCCATGCTCCGTCTGTTGCCGCTAGTGTTTTGATAGTAGTCCTTCCCCGCATAGGTAGATACACTATTTCTTCTTTTCCCCATTGGCGGAGGGTTGAGTACATAGTCACCGACCACGCTTCCGCCGTCACCGCTGCCAACAGTCGATGTTCCTAGCCCGCTGCTACCGCTGATACTAGACTCAACCCAACGGTCGGTGCGGTTCATTTTATCCTCTGGATAAACCTCCGGTAGCTCAACTGCTGTGGATCGACGGTTCATGCTCTTCCGGTTTTCTGCGGGCGGCGGTGCGTGGTCCTGATAGTTCTCCGTCTGGCGGACCCTGGGCGCTGCCATGCTACTACTTCTTCTATGGCGTTCCTGTGGTGGAGTCTGCTGTGTCCGCCGGCTTTGTCTAGCTTCACTGTGGCGTGGTGAGCGTTTCGATGGCTGTTCGGCCTGGAAGGACTGCTCAACTCTCGTACTTTGAGTCCTAGTGATAGAGGGCATCGAAGTCCTCGGCTCCGCACTATGAGGCTGTTGATATCCAAAACCTTGTGCCTCAACTCCCAACGGCATCCTCGTGGCCGCCCTCGGAAACGCATCTGCAGCTTGGCTAAGCAACTGGGCATGTGTGAATGATGACCTTCCATCAACCTCTCGTAGCTGTGGGCCGGGGGTGGAGAACATTGGAAACCCTTGGCGGACCGGGTTGACATCTTGTACTTGCGGAGGGCCGGTAGGGGACATGAAATCGCCCCCATAGTAGCCACCTGATGTTGCTGGCCGTCCGCCTGAGAAGCTTGCCGGGCGGCCTCCAATAAAGCTACTTGGACGTGGAGGTGCGGGGATCTCAACAGATTGAACGACGATGGGACCATCATAAGGCTGTTCTTCGCGGCGGATAGGAGCGGTAGAGTGATGTGTATATGTCTGCGACCTTCCTGGCAATGGGGGTCTCCCCGGCGCAGGAGCGGTAGTAGGACGGAATCTCGACTGCCTAGAATATATTGCCCAGAACGTCTGTGATGCTCCGCCACTCTGTTTCTTCTCCTTCCCTACGGCGGAAACAACCCACTTGAAGTTCTTAATATCCTTCTCACTCTTGTTCAGTTTGTCCTCCTGTTTTCTCAGATGCCTGAGTTGGTATTTCCCAAGCTTAGATATACAAGTGCCAATATCCCTCCCGGGTTCATCATGCTTCCTGATCTGTTTTTCTGTTTCTTCTGGGGAAATGCTCATAGTTATATGATCGCAAGTCTCCCATTCATTTTTCCACGGGCGACCACTGGGTCTTTTCTGAAAGCAAACATAACGAGTGATCGGTGGCGGAGCACCGTGGACAATTACCGGGTGCCGTGGGAACTCTTGGTGAATCTGGGGGTGGTAGCTGTGGGGACGAGAACCTAAACCGAAACTGGAGCGGCGGTAGTCCATATCAGACTCAAATGGAGGGGTAGCTTGGAAGGAATGGCGGGGATTTAGATCTTCGAAGGTGGGCCTGTTACTTGAGGTGGAGTATCGCCCCAGTGGAGCTGTAGTTGTAGGGGGGCGAGGGATAGACATTGTTCAATAATAGCAGCTCTATAAAGCTTGTAGAAGAGTTTTATGATGTAGTGGAAGGATTTTAGGGGCAAAGGTTGATCGTCTGATCATCAACAGGTCTTGAAATCCGGAGAAAAGTCAAGACAAGATCGATCACTGTAAGTCAGGAACCAAGTCTGATTGATTGCAGATTAGATGACGATGAGGTATGTATGTAGGCGGGGTGTCGCAGGTAAAGGCCCAGAGATATCAAGATGAAGTCAGCTAGGTATCTCTGTCAAACTCTCTCGTGCACCGGCCCCGAAAAAACGTGAGGCTGTAGGAATTCAACGAAAGGCGAACTGCAACGGGGCGGACAGAGGCCAGCACAATCTTTATAAGTACAATCCTGTCGTCTTGCATCACACCCACCCAGCTGCAGAACTAAATCGCTGGTACCTATCATAGGGTCCTGCATGCTGGGTACTAAAACCGATAGGATCAGACAACCAAAAACCGTTTCACAAAACTTGATAAGTGCAACTCATTGAACGGATTATTTCTCAGCCTCGTCACTTTTGGTGCCAGTTTGAGTGATAGGCAGATGATCTGGAGGGGCATCAAGTCTATGGCATGAGGCGGGCGAAGCACTTCTCCACAGGATAGGCATAGTTGCTGCCTCAATTCAGATCCTAGACACTACCAAAAAGTTAATACACTTCCAAGAATTCCGCTCGAGCTCATAAAAAAGATTCTGATTTAAATGCGGCATAAGAATTCTTGCTCTTGCTAGAAATCCAGTTAACTGTTGGTTGGCTGCATATGCTTCTACACGCATCCCAGCCAATGGCCATGCAGTCATGCCGCTACCCCCAGATTTTTGGCGGAAATCCTCCTTATATAGGGTAATCATAGTCCAGGATGTTCGTCTCGTCTAATTCCCCGTTGTAGGAACCATCCCCACACCTTATCGAGAAAAAAGTAAAGGAATTGCAGCTACAACCTCCCAAGTAGAGCTGTAGCAGTTACGAACAAGCAAGGCGAACCGGCGCCTTCAAGAGTAGTACCAAGACAAGACAACGACAACGACAACGTCGAAGTTCGCCCTGAGCTCACTCCAAAGATAAGTTGCACTTGAAGGGTCCTAGTCTGTCCTCACTTTTGGAACTCGGAATACCCTTGAGGAAAAGCTCAATAATCCCGAAGCTCAATCGAAAGCTCGGATCGGATCGGTCAACCGTAAGCAGAGTCGGGTTGAAGCGCCAGTCGTTGCAAATAGGAAGGCTTCTTCAGGATACACCCAATGATCCACGGCCATGTTTTCGTCAACGAGCCGTAGATCGCAAAACGGGTTACCCTCTGCCTAATTAATCAATATTCGACTATCTGATTTGTCTACTGCCCTGACCACGCGCTCCGTCGCTAAGGGTAAACTGGAGAACGACACCACACACACCCTACACAGAACGTCCGAGTTGATGCAGCATGTTGAGTCGACTCTGCTCGCTCATCTCTAGACAAAGACTACATCTCTAGGAATTAATTATTTTTTCTCTCCCTACACCGGCGTCCCTCATCGATCGATTCTCGTGCACAGTGTTCCCGAGAAAACTAACATTTTTTTTTCTTTCAACCTTTCAGATCCTATAGTCGGCGGAGTCACCGAACTGACATGTCTTCTTCCTCTTCCGTCAATCCTTCCACTTCCTTCTCTGGGATCTCCTACCAAGGCGTAAACAGCACTTTTGAGAAAGCCATTCGTTAGCCAGGATACCACGGCAGAAAAAGAAAGCTGCCCAAAGAACATGTAATGGCATGGAGATAAAAGCAGGAAAACGAATACGGCGAATCTTTCCATATTCGTTTTCTTTCCTCTACCCTCCAATTCCAAGGGCCGTTTTCTAGTGGACAGCGTTTTTTTCTGTCTGCAGTGCGTGTTCGTTCGTTCGGTGAAAGAGAGGGCGCGGTGAAGAAGTATTTGGCAAGCTACAAATGTTTGGATACAGAGAGACCCCAAGCCTGTCAAGTGATAATAATAAACGTCGCTGTTATCGGCTGGTGGGAACACAGAGTGGTGTGTGTGTGGGACTAGACCAGGGATGGGATCGGCGCGAATGTCGTGCAGCTAGCTCTGGTCGCAGAGAACTCCACTCCACACCACCTGTACCACCACCACAAGCACAACCACAAGCACAACCACTTCCTTCCCCGAACGACTTCTGGAAGAGAGACACAGATGTACCTACACGTATGGTGCATGCCAGCAAATTCAAGACCAGAAAACCAAATGCCCATGTACTTTAGAGTAGCGTACCTGCCTAGAGTACTCTAGAGGACTGTAGAGTACCCAGAGGTAGGGGGCAAGTGTCTGAGCCAGATAACTAGATACTGATTATTCCCAATTACCAATCGGTAGGTTCCAGTAACTGGCAGTAAGCATTCCCCCCCCCCCCCCCCCCTCCTCTCCCCAATTGCTCTTCGACAGCGCTGCGGAGTGACGAAGTGGCTTTAAAGGCCACCACAGCTGCACGCACCGCCAACGCAACAGCCCCAGCCGCCTTCCACTGGGGGAAGGGTCAACTTTGGGGGGTGTTTTAATTTATTCCACTTTTACTACGGTATGGATAAGTTTACCCATACTTATACGTATAGTGGTGTGCATTATAGATCGATTTACAATCGATCGCCATAGCTATTGGTAAACATTTCATCCACAAAAACAACTCTTTCTACCGAATATATATCCATTTCTATAGGCCTACTATCTCGAACATTTCGATGCTCAGACTCCGAATGGTTCACCAGTTCTAATCCAAGGAATGATACTGGGCCTAACCAGCTTCGAATAATATTTCTTCCCGGCCCTTCCGAAAATATCAACTCCAGATACCGCTTTTATCTGCGCAAACTCTCGTATGAAATCACTCTCTCCTCAATAACATTGGAACGGATAAAGTCAGGAGAATTATCAGATGCCCTTCCCTTTCACGCCCCGGCCAGCTAGATGGACCCAAGAGAAATGACTACATATCTCGCAAAACTAGCTCGTGACCATAGCGCGGGAGACATCGGGATATGAATGCAGCTCAGGAATGCAAGGAAACTCAAATTATTCCACCGGCGCGGTGAACTTTACTGGAAAAAATTACCGTATCAGATATCCCGTCAAAAGTAAACCTACTCATCAATCCCGGCATCTACTCTGGGGTATTTCTACAAGTCTAGATCAACTTGACTTCCGTGCGTAAAGCCGGTCGTTCAGCCCTACACATGCGGTATCAGGTAAGGAGCAATCATAAGCTGCCCGGCCTATCGCTGTGATATTTCACATGGCACGATGTACGAGATGCGAAGCTGGGTTATTCCCAAAATTGGGTTGGGTCATCGTTCATCACTCGCATGGTCCAACCGCACAAATCCACAAACCGCCACGCTGATTCCCCAGCTCTACCATCTCTCTCCAAATTCTTCTCAATCATCTCATACATCTGTGATTACATCATCCACCACCGATGCCTCATCACTAGAACCCGGAATATCCACTCGTACATATGCCCTGTCCCAACATATCACCAGGACAGTCTGCGAACTCCAATTTCAATAACCTCATACTCCAGGTATCCAACATCAGAAACAAATCCTCTTCTAAATCCCGAAATAATGGCGGTCATCTCAAATACCTAGGAACATTATATACAACATGTGCCCCGCATCAACATCCATTACGCCAAGGCACATAGCGAGAATAATGTCAATCTTGATGGAGGCACGTGTAGGTACATGTATATACCTACATACATGTATGCAACTACCCCCCCCCCCCCCCCCCCAAGTATAAGACATGCCTTCGATCATGTTTAACATCTACAAGTAACATAAGTACTCCGGTATTATCATTGGAAGTATAACGGTATATGCATACTCCTTACTCTACTGTTTCGGCAGCTACTGAGGTGACTCGATCCATAAATTAAACCTTGTACGCATACAAATGCGAGATTTTCTGATGGAGAAATTTTACCCAAGCCCCAGCAATAAAGCCGAGTACCCCGAAACACAATTGAATTGTGTTTCCAAGCAGCCACCCATACCCGTGACACAAAGGTGCACTTGCACTTTAGAGAATGTAGCGTTACCAGCCAGTGCTGTCAACAAGTGCACTTGGCCAACAATTATCATGCAGGAGAGGGCAAATACCCGCACATGTGCGCACAAATATGAAACGTCGATCCGGACCTAAAGCAGGGGTATTTGATATACGGAGTTGAAATCAACTCCTCAGTCCTATAAGATCTCACTCAGTATGTACGTCCCTGAACTGTGGTATTATTGGAAGATCCCAATTAATACTGGTCGTATATAAAGCTTTCTTCCTCGTGTTCTTTTGAAAAGGCTTCTCACTCACGCTGGGCTAGTAGTAGGTACATACTAAGGCACACACGTATCCCTTAAGCTGTCGATGCTGACCCCCCTATAACAGAGGAATTAGATTTGGATGAGAGATCTATTATTTGATAAGAGAGATAACGAGATCTGTTAGTAAGGCCACACCAAATTTGCATTTTCGCGACAGCTTAAGGGATACACAAGTCTCAGAACATATTATAAGATACTCGCTTGTGGTTGTGGAGAGTTTTTTTTTTCCTTCCAAGGGAGATAAGAATCGCAATATCCACCGCATATTGTATCGTGTTAACTCTGATCCCAGTCCTATGCTCACACTAAGCATCTCAACCTCATTCTCGTTGTTTGCCTCGTCGTATGTACATGTGTCCAGCTTTCCACGACCGCCTTAAAATTATAGATCACTACTTATTTTATCATATTTGATTATAATGTAACTACCCAAGCTATATTTATAATACGCTTCTGCATAAATGAATATCAATCGAACGCACTTCTATATCACGCCAGGATGAGCAGCGGTAGCCCAAAATACATGTAAGTCCTCATCCAGGGCCGGCTCACACGGCACAGAAGGCCTTAAACTGCTAAACGGGCCCTTAGACTAATTCAACCTAATTATAGGGACTCCCTCGATAAGGGCTTACAGCCCGAAACCCGGCCTGGCCTGCCTAGGACCGCTTTATAAACAACATACACATCATAAAATGGTTTCTACATTTGATGCCTGTGCCTCGCTATATATTATCTTCATCTTCTCTATCAAATATCTGAAGCCCTGAATAACGTCTACTCCAGATCGAAACAAAAAAAGAAGAGAGCAGAATTCCTCAACCATATTATTAATAAACACTTAGATACACATACAACGTCCTGTAATCTCAGATTTATGAATTTACAGTAGGTCCCTCAAATCCCCTCAAATCCCTCATATTGGCCGGGTGAATCTATCTAGTATATGTACTACTTATATAAGTTCTCATCAATTGTCTCCGACCAGCCTCCATCCTCCATGAAAAGAAAAAAAAATTGAAAGAAGAAAAACACCGTGGAAAACGAAAGGAAAAATGAGAGATCAACGACCGCTGAAAGCCGAATGACAAAGGCAGGAAATAATGGCACCTGTAAATGCAATACAATGCAGAGCTAATACAGAGAAAGCTTTAAAGCGTGTGAAGAATGAAAAAAAAGAAAGGGGAATGCATTGATGGCAATGGAGCTAGGAAGAGGAGGAGGAGGAGGAGAAAACGATAGAGATAAAATCTTCGGGAGTACGCATAAGGACTGATAACTACCCATCATAATCCGTATATATCATTAATTCATCGCAAGTCTGACCCTGCACGACCAATACCCTCCTGCGCCATGCTACAGACCAAAGACAAAATACCAACATTCCAAAGAAAGGAGTAAAAGAGGAAGAAACAAAGTATGAATAAGAAGAAAACGCACTAGCCCTCCGCGGAAACAAAGAGACAACTTTTATTGAGGTATTTGAGGAGACGACAAGCACGAAGGGATGGCGAGCGGTAAAGGTTTGGCGTAAAAAATTCAACTAGAACTTTACTAGAAATGGGTTACCAAACCAAATCGTTGTCGCTCGTCGTCCCTTGATGCTCGTCGTCCCCTCAAATATTCGCATTTTACTAACAAACGATACCCTCACCTCTCGGCTCCTTCACTGAGCCTAGGTTGTTGCTCAGGAACAAATGTTACCGCTGCTGCTAGGGGCTCTAGGGTCGGACTCTCAGCAAGGTTCGCGAATGCCCCTCCGTCAAACACAAATGGACCTGCGTCGTTCATTGGTGTCATGGGTCCTTCGTGCCCTCCTTCTATACTACTAGTGCTTCCACTTCCACTTCCACTTCCACTTCCGCTCGCTCCATCTCCCACCATTCCACTTTGCTGCCGAATTTCTAGATCATGGACGCTTTCTTTACGTCGTCTACATGATCCCGACGCCTTGGATGAGGATGTCTGCCTAATCTCTACCGGTGAAGTTGTAGCCTGCAACGGCTCTGGAGGAACAATAGCCCCTGGAGATTGTTCGATGATTAGGTTTGTAGGGGCGCGAGCGGGCGCCGGCTCCGGGGCTTTTCCGACTTCTGATACCTGTAGGGCTTGCTCTTCTGCAGCAACAGGAGCACCGCTTTCCTCAATCACATTTTCGTCTACGTCATCGAAATTTTCCCATCCTTCGCCTAGTTCGTCCTCCTCGATATCACGATCCAAATCTGCGATTGCCCGGCAGTTGGGGCATAAGAATGAGGGGTAGTCTTTCTCAACCAGCGGGCGAATACATTTGTAGTGCCAGACATGGGAGCAAGGCGCTACAAAAAGTGATTGACATGGCTATCACAAACCAATTTTATTAGTAAAAATCATTTCCGCCCAGAACCTAGGTTAGGTATTGTCAAAAAAAAAAAAGAATTAAATTGGAACTTACAGCCACAGGCATGAGGCATATGGAGCATTCCGAAGTGTGTGTTGACATTGCATCTCCATCCTTTCCCTTGGCTGCTCCACCGGAGGTGCCTTTTGCAAGGTTCCTTATTCGTCGATGTGCAGACATACTATCATGTCTCGGGTAAGCTAAAATGCCCTTCTCGATTTCCTTGGGTAGGGATTTCATACTTGAAATTATTCAATGACTTTTGCCAAGCCCTGTTCAGTTCTACCCTAATTTTCACACATCTAAATATTTGCTCTTCCCCGCCCTTGAAGTCGATGCCAAGTTGTAGAATATCCCCATCATATAGCGGATAAGCTTTACTTTCATTTCCCGGTGCAGAAAGTCTGATGTGGTTTAAGAACGTCCCACTTGAGCTCTTGACGTCCCTGACATACCACTGACCCGCATCGCACCAGAACTCGCAATGTCGCCGAGAAACGACCTTTGACTTAAATCCCACAGGTGCAGATGGATTTGAGGAATCCCTATCACTATAACGGCCGACTCTAATCCGTTCATCTTTGAACCTCAGTGTGCGTTCGACGGGAGGGAAAATTAGAGATTCACGGGATGCCCGATTGTCGATATGAGGAATAAAACGGATCGATGCTGCGGGTTCGTTTACCTGATTAGCTCGAGCAGTATTGCTAGGACTACGAACAAGCGGGGCGTTCGGATGCCCTTGAGCAGTCGGTAGTGTGGGATCAAGAGGATTAGAGATTGTCTCATCGATGGACCTCACCGCCTCAGGATCGGTTGAGGCACGGGCACCAGGGGAGCCGTTGGAAACGACACCCGGTGTGTTTGAGAGCTCTGCTGAGGGCTGTGAAGCTACACGGGAGAGCCCACTGATACCGCTCACAGTTGGTAGCCACGCGTTTGAAGCTGTATTGTTGAGAGGCGAGGTTGACCGCTGTCGTGGAACCGTTGCTATTGGCTGCGATGGGGGAAGTGAGGGGGAAGTGGGAGTATGGTTGTTCATCGTATTATTATTGTGGTTGCTAGTTGAATTTGAGCTAGCATTAGCGGGGGTAACAGTGGGAGCAGCGGGCGACGTTGAGTGATTATGACCATGGGCGTAGTGGCGGAGGTAGGAGAGACCACGAAGACGACCCGTTCTTGGGGACTGGGGAGCGCCAGATGGAGGCACAACAGTTGAGGATGCTGTTGTAGACATGTTTGCTGGTAGCATCTACTAAGGGTAAACCTGATCGAGCGCCGTGAATAATGGTAAAGCTGCGGAAGGGGTATGCTGAGGTATTGTAGTGGGGGGTTAATGTTGAGTTGTTGCTTGTTGTTACTACTGCTGCTCAACTTGCAGGGAAACGTCTGTTTTGTTGTTGTTGCAGTTACTGAATGCAGGAGATGAGCGATCAGAGGAACGAAAGATAGAGAGACCGAGCTTTCAAGTAGAATTTGTGTACCTTCCTCTGTCCCTGTTGGATATACCGAAATGAAATCAGACGAACATCCAAGAACGTAGCCAGTACTATGCACTTATGCTGTATTGTGGTATTTTGTACAATGCGCAATATCCCGATAAATCCGGCGATCAAGGCGACAGGAGAGAACAAAGGATCTCGAGGAGGTTTCGATGTTCTTCGTGATGATGCAGAGAAAAGAATTTTGTTTGAGTTTCCCACAGCAGATCTGTGCACTCTAGGGATTATGTATTACGCTGGGTATGTACTTGGGGGCAACAATCGTCCAATCAAGATCACTGCCGTAACCAGACGCTATCCAAGAGACAGGCCAGGCCTTATGTCTTGGGAGGCGTAAAGAACGCAAGGCTAGAAAGGGGCTGGAGTCTGGGGAGAGAACTTTAGATACCCTCCTAACATCAAGTTCGGTCGCCGACTTTGACTTTGACTGTTGGTTTTTCCCCCTTCTATTCTGAAAGAGAGCCTCCACATTTACCAGTGCAGTGCTAACAAAAAGTCGAAGGCATATACCGCTGCCACGTACCAAGCAGGTTAAGATTGGCGTTTTCTCTCTCCTCTTGAGACTTCTATCTACCACCTTCCCGCCCACTCTTTTTCTTCTCCTCTTTCATTTCCAGGTGACCCTGTGTGGAAAGATCGTGTGATCTCTACCCTTATCGACCCATCCACATCTAGACTTAGGGTTACATACAGTTGTCAGAAATGCCATTATTTAGCTTCCCTACTCCCCTTTCTCACCGCTTTCCTCATCCTCTTCTCCCCGGCTCTCTTTCTTCCTCAAGCACAAAACACATGCCTCTTGTTTGCTTCATACGTGAAATATGTACCACAGTACCAAGACTTTTAGCTTTTGCAAACATGAGTGCACCAAGATAGTTTGTGTTCCGGGAGTTTGGTGTTTGAGTCAACATTTTTTTGATCTTTGCCACAGATTTACAGCTTTGCAAAGAATTAGTAAGCTCAAGTCAGTCAGCCAGCTATACTCGCCTCTTTATTTTACAGCTACACATTATACCATCAGGACGTTATGAAGAAAGGTTCACTTCAGGCGGTGTCTCATGTGTTTAGGTACCAGGTTGTCTTAAACTTCCACCTTCGTAGAACATTCTTCTAGACCTTCGAAGAGGATGCATTCTTTTTCACCAGAGCTAAACAACCACGCGAGAACCCGTGGTATCCATCATCCATGCATGCAGCCCGAGAGACCCGATCGTTGCACGCAAGGATTGGCGTTGGCTGGCGCCACCCTACCACTCTGGTGGTGTTTTGTCAGTATCACAGAGAATCACTCGCTTGGGGAAATAATCCAAGGTTCCCCTTCCTCCGACCCCGAACCGAGACAATTTCAGGGCAAGTTCAACAGCGCATGATATCATGATGTCATCTTCTGACAGATCTTATGATTTCGACGTTCCTCTTATCATTGCCGGTCCCGCATTTCTTTGATCGATAAGATAAAAAGGAAATATCGATATCTACCCCTCATTCTCTCTTTCATGCACCTTGCAGATGGCTTTCTAGAGTAGAGTAGTGATGAAATGGGTTTTTGTACTTGGGGATATTGATCTACTACGCATTCTCGGTTACGCCATGATGGCTGACATCAGCTCCTCGGAACCTAATATTGGAAAGAAGCATCCTAGAATCCTATAGCTACAGAGGGTTAAGGCCTTCGGGTCTTACGCTAGTGGTCAAGGAGGTTCCTCTCCGCAGACCCTTCCTCGACGATATAACAATCCATAGACGCCTAGGTACTTGTAAAGAGGAAGTAAGTTGCTCAGGTAGTGTTATGTATGGGTCGCATGAACATTGTGGTTTGGATTAACCACTCTCGGGTTGTGTCCGTCCGTGCTCTCTGTTGTAGGCTTTTCGCTTCACATCCCATATTCGGCGCCAAAAACCGATGAAGTTCCATAAGCGAACTTGATATTTCTTGAATCTTAATAAAGTGCAGATCTCACCACGCGAGTGAGTCTCAGCGATAGGCGGCGTAGTATCGTGTAGGTAATGGTATGTAATGGTCAGTAAGTAAACAATAGAGCGATTTCAAATCAGCAACGCTGCAAAGGAACATGCTATGGTTAAGTAAAAAAAAAAAGTCTTTGTATATTAGTTATCAGTGTGGGGGGGGGGGGGGATGACGAGTGGTTTATCTTTATATTCTGGGCTGTTTATCGCTCTTCATCATCCCCTAGGGAGAAGCATAAAATTCTCAAGAGGACGGGGTCAGCACGTTCGGAAATTGCATGATATGCCGGGCCCGAGACCGGGCCGGGTGGGTTAGCCCCATTCATTCGTTCATCTCACCATTCGGGAATAGCAAGGGGATAATGGTTGAGCTGTCCCACCAGGTCCACCAGGTCCACCCTTTAATCTTGTCTTTAATATTTTTTTCTTTGCTCTTTTGGGATATTGTCGCTACACACTGATTTCCAAACGGGGCCAATTGGAAAGCTGTTAAAGAAATTGTTTGTAGGTTACAGTTTCTCGGAAACCACAGAAGCCGTTGTTGTTGACTGCTAGGTACATGTAGTTAACTGACGCATGCAGGCAAAGGATGTCTGGCTGTTTCTGTTCCGAGGCTTTTTTTTCTTGTCTCCCTTTTTCTGGTGGAGACTCGTCCTTTAACTAAATAAACTCCTGTTCCAGCCTTGTGTTCTTATTTCGCTTACTTCCTTTTCCTCTTCTTCTTGTCTCCCTCCCAACCCAACCTCCTTCTACTCTCTCCCCCCCCTCGTTCCTGATCTTGGATCCCACTGTTGCTCTCCCGTCAACACGTTCCATCTGCTATTGCCCCTCCTTCGACCCTTTACTGCCGCTGGTCACGCTCAAGCTTCCCTGTGTTTCCACTACACGTTGGTTGGCACTTGTGTGTTGTTGGGAGAGATCTTCAGGAACAGGCCCCCTTCCCCCCCGAGAGATAGAAAAGAGAGAGTTGTGTCAACGCAAAACCACCCCTTTTAATCTTTCAACCACACTAATGTGTTGGCTGAAATAAAAAATCAACTTCATCGACGCTAGTACTACAAGATAACATCCATCTGCAGCCTCAATTTCTTAAGACAGTTACCCAATTCGACACGGGATGCCTCGTAATCCGTTCTCGTCTTCGTCCGCGACGGCTCCTATCCCTATCGACGCTCCGCGCAAACGCTCACCTTCTTCCTCTCGCAACACTGCTGCTAAGGTGGCCCAGTTCTTCTCCTCATCACCGAAAGCTGCATACTCCCTTCCGGCCCATCTTTCGGCCTCTGCCTCTCTCCTGGCTGCTCAGGAGCAGAACAACGCCCGTAGCCTCTCCCCTTCGGTGTCTTTGCCAACTATCTCCCTTTCAACTGCTACTGCGGATAAATTGTCAGATACCCCTACGATGCTGTTTTCACCCCCTTCTCCGGAAGCTGCGAGGAAGCTGGCGAGAGAGCATGCACAGTTTGGTCCCTTAGGCCACGCAAGCCATAAGTGCATCTCACAGCACCCCAAAGGATCACCGGTAGAGGATCCTGTTGAGGATGAACCGCCGTATTACTTTTTGCTTACGACGTACATCTCGTATCTCGTATTGATTGTATTCGGACACGTTCGGGATTTCTTCGGCAAGAGGTTCAAGGATCAGAATTACAAGCATCTGAAGGCTCAAAATGTAGGTGGTCATTGTTGTGGTTGGTTGCTGGCAGTGCAACGGTTGATTACGAAGCTGACGCAACTCTTTTGCTTTTTACCAGGGCTATGCAGCTTTGAACAGTGACTTTGACAACTTCTACGTTCGGCGATTGAAGATGCGGATCAGCGATTGCTTCGCCCGTCCCATTACTGGTGTTCCGGGCCGCTTCATTACCCTGTTGGACCGCGTGTCCGATGATTTCAATCTTACATTCAAACTTACCGGTACACAAACTGAGGCATTGAATATGAGCTCGTACAACTACCTTGGATTTGCCCAATCAGTAGGCCCCTGTGCAGATGCTGTGGAGGATAGCATCAGACGTTATGGAATGTCCTCTGCGAGCTCTCGTGTCGATGCGGGTACCTCGGACCTCCATACCGACGTGGAAAAGCTGGTTGCCGATTTCGTTGGGAAGCCTTCTGCAATCGTTTTCTCCATGGGTTATGCTACAAACTCGGCTGCCTTCTCTGCCTTGGTTGGAAAGGGATGCTTGATTATTTCTGATGAGTTGAATCACGCCTCCATTCGTTTTGGAGCTCGTAGTTCCGGTGCCGTGATTGGAATGTTTAAGCACAACGATATGAATGACTTGGAGCGTCTTTTGAGGGAACAAATTTCTCAGGGTCAACCGAGGACACACCGCCCCTGGAAAAAGATTCTTGTTGTCGTGGAAGGTCTTTACTCGATGGAGGGAACCATGTGCAATCTTCCAGGATTGTTGGAACTCAAACACATCTATAAGTTTAATCTGTTCATCGACGAGGCTCACTCTATTGGTGCATTGGGACCAAGGGGCCGTGGTATCTGTGATTACTTTGGCATTGATCCCTCCGAAGTTGATATTCTCATGGGAACTTTGACTAAGTCTTTCGGTGCCAACGGTGGATACATTGCTGCGGATAAGCACGTCATTGATAAGTTTCGGACTTCTCACGCGGCTAGTGTTTATGGCGAGTCACCAGCACCCCCAGTCTTGATGCAAATCTCATCATCTTTGCGTATTATCGCTGGAGAACTCGTTCCTGGTCAAGGTGAAGAGCGTCTGCAGCGTCTGGCCTTCAACTCTCGATACCTTCGCCTAGGTTTAAAGCGCCTAGGATTCATTGTATACGGCCAAGACGATTCGCCTATTATTCCTCTCATGCTGTATAACCCTGCAAAGATTCCAGCCTTTTCACATGAGATGTTGCGGCGAAAAATTGCTGTCGTCGTCGTTGGATACCCTGCGACCCCACTTGTTAGCTCAAGAGCTCGATTCTGCATTTCTGCTGCCCACACCAAAGACGATCTGGATAGGCTTTTGACTGCTTGTGACGAGATTGGCGATGTTTTGCAACTCAAGTTTTCCAGTGGCATTGCTGGTGGTGCTGTTCCACTACCGCCCGGAGTCACCCGCGAAGACGAGAAGGAGATGAGGAAAAAGGGAATTGTATCACCACCCAGATGGCCTCTGGAGGAGGTTCTTAAGCGAGGTGTGAAGGACGTTCAGTCTCCGTTAAGATAATGGGTTCATGCGATGGGGGGGAATTCGGAGTACTGCTCGTCTCGGACTAATTGTTGCATGTTTGGGAGGTGTGGGTGTTTATCTTTTTGTTCTTCTTTTTTTGTACATTTTCCAGCCGCATGTTTGTGTTTTTGTTTGCGCATTCAGCGAGGCCGATTAATGTATATTTCACCTGTTGTCTCGGGCTTCTCCTCTCTTCATGGGAGTTCGTTTTCGGGGAAAAAAATTAATTACCTAAGGGTAGGCGGTTCGCTGGCTGGCTGGGGGGGCTTTATTGGGAGTTTGTACACTTTGGGGAATTCGCGGCATTTTATATACTCTAAACCCTTCTTATTCCTTCATGTTCCCCTTCTATTTTACGTCTGGGAGTTTTTTCTTTCTCTTTCTCTATATATCTCTACCTTAGATTCCTGATTGATGAGCTAAAGCTTGGTTTGTTGTTTGTTTCCCCCTTTTTTTCTTTCTATCTTTTTGCTTTTTTTTCAACCAGGTATGATATCAATATTACAGTAACGTGTATGCTAGTTATGTTATTATATGGTAATGTCATATGGCAGGGAATTATGGAAATGGTAGGTTACCTAGGTTGGGGAGTAATGTCTAGAAAAATATGAAGTTTATTTTGGTTACGTTCCCTTTAGTCTCTTTGGTACTCTACTTTAGTTTAATTTGGCGAAAAAGGGAAAAATATGTGACATACCCTGCACTGCATGGAGGCGGGCCGGTTGATTACATGGTATGGAGATAGGTACATTTGCTAGGTGTTCCTCAGGAGACTTTTTGTAAAACTGGGCATATTGCAGGTTACAGACGCATCGGTGCGATCGTTGTACTAGGGTGTAGCGAAAAGTTATCAGAATCTGATAAGACAAATACACGTATTCACCGCAACATTCACTTATCAGATTCTGATCACTTACCCTCAACACCCGGTACTCTACTGACTAGTGTTAGCCCCCTCCAACCATCCTTGGCGCACAAATAATATTTCTAGCTAAGAACACACATGGGCGAGTGGTCTAATGGCTATCACTCGCCTTCCGGACACCGCGAGGTTAGGCCCGGCCTTCGATTACAGAAGGTCCACGGTTCAATCCAGGGGTGGGAGTAGTAGATTTCGCCCGGTGAAATCTGCAGTACTTTTTGTTCTTTTAGTGTATGAAAGAAGAGATAATAAATATGATGAGTGAGACCTGCACAAACCGAGTGGGATCAATTATAATATGTAATTAACGTTGGGAGCTTCCACCTCCATCCACCTCCATCCACCTCCCTCTAAACTTTGGGGGCTTCAATGGGGGCCTTCGGCCCCCTCCATCTCTTCAATTCATGGGACCTTTTTACTGCGCCGTAGATTTTGGTGGGCGGGCTGGTTGCCATGTAAGTAGGGGAGAGCACGCCGGGTAAGCGCAAAAGGTTTCGCAAATGGAGCCTTTACAGTACATATTAGATGGACAGGGAAGCTGGGGCGGGTCATGGATTGTCACTCGATGCTTTAGACAGGGGGTGGGAACGCCAAGGCCGATGGTTTGGACGTTGTGGTGCAGATTACGCACAGGTCAGCGGTTACGTGGCTGAACCAGGTCAAGCATATCTGTTAGGATTCTCAAACTGCATAAAACTAGGCTGCGGCACCATAGCAATCCAATCATCATCACTCCTCCATACTTGCATCAGAGCATAACCCATATATGATAGCGAGATCACGAACCCGAACAGCCTGAAAGCATGGGAACTTTTGTGTCTCTAACCACGGGAATGACTAGGGAAGTACAGAACTCAATTCGTATGTAGTTTCGATATCTCACTACAAGACCATTCCGCCATGGGCCGATAATAGAACAGGGCAAGTACGTATGTACATCCCAGTTTGGTAAATAAGAGTTGACATTTACCCGTATCTATCTATCTATCTAGAGTATACTCATGTCACCACCAGCACTACTGCTGCTCCTACTGTTGCAGTGTAACAACCGCCCACACATGCATGACCGCCGGGAGGTGCCTATCATCACGAACTATCACTCGGCCCATGGTACCCGTGCGGAGGAGCGGAACTGCACGTCTCCCTCGACGTCGGGCACGCTACGGGCGGCGGCCTCTTTTGCTTCTGTGACTTTTTCATTCTGCGGGGTGTCAGTTAGGGGAGGGGCATTGGCATAGATAGGAAAGCCGGAGTCACTCACAAGCATAGCCGTCTGCCCATCCACCCACAGCAGCGTCGCCCAATGGTCGTTCAGGATCGTCACAACCGCCGCCAACTACCCCCCACACCACATCAGCCACTTCACTCTCCCCCCAAACCACAAAGGAAACGCAAAAAAAAAAAAAGAAAGAAAAAAAATCTCACCGGATTCCCCACCCCCCGCATCCTCTCCCCCGCCTCATTCAACACGCCCACCATCTCCTCGGCGCCATTGACCATCTCCTCTACCCTCTCGCTGGTGCCCAGCAGTCCACCCAGCATCCCCTCCCGCTCCGCATCGACCGGCGCCGGCGCCCGCTCCTGCGCGCCGATGAACGCCTCGTACCAGTCCAGCACCTCCTCCATACGCGCCTGCTCGGCGGCCAGGCGGTCGAGCGCGCGATTGTGCGTGGCGGACTGCGCCTCGGCGGAGGATGTGGCGAGCGTGAGGTCGTTGATGGCGTCGCGGGCGGTGAGGAGGGTGGTGTCGCAGTTCCGGAGAAGGGCGCCGTGGGACGTGAATGTCTGTTTGTGGGCTTCGAGGGTGGCGGTCCAGTCTGTGGTTGCGTCTGAGAGGGAGGAGGTGGGGGTTAGGTACGTTGGGAGAGGGGGGAGAGGGGGGAAGGTGGAAGTGGTGGGGGTGGGTGGGTTGGCGGCGGTGCGGGGGAATGGGGGGACGGGGGGGATAGCGGAGAAGAGGGCGGTGGGGGGAGGTGCTTGTGCTGGTGCTAGAGTTGCGGTAGCTGTAGGAGCGGGGATTGATTTCGTCGCAGCTGTCTGAAACAAGCTTGCAGGGTCAGAAGGCGCTCCAGTATCAGTAGGAGAAACCAGGACATCAGCCTGCGGCAGGGCCGGGGCTTTTCCAAAAGTAAACTCCGTCGTAGCAGCAGCTGCTGTAGGTAATACACTCGAGAACACCCCTCCCGCAGGGGCAGGAGCGGCAGGTGTAGGTGTAGGAACAGCCTGCCCAAAAAGTGAGCTGCTACTAGAACCCGCCGAAGACGCAGGTGCAGCGTTCTGCGCCTGCCCAAAAAGCGTACTCCCACCAGAACCCGTCGAAGCTGCATTAACGGCCCCGAAGCCCGGCGGCCACCCCGCGGGTGTGGTAGAAGTGGTGGCAGCGGCATTGACGCTCCCGTGGCCTTGAGGTAGACCCGCTGGTGTAGTCGTATTGGTGGTTGTAGTCTGTGACAGGAATGCGGGAGGTACGGACTGAGCGGGCTGAGTGGGCGGGAGTGGTCGTTGTAACTCGTGCATGATGGCGGCTAGGTTTGCAAAGTCCGGGGCTATAATATCGGGAGTCGTAGTGGCAGTGTTAGGTGGTACTGGTGCAATGAATGGTTTGTATGTAGGAAGGGGGGGCGGAGTGGAGGGTGAGTTGAAGGGATTTGTGGTGGGTTGGTTGAAGGAGTTTGTGGCCGGTGGGTTGAAGGGGTTTTTGGGAGGTGCGGGCTGGCCAGCGGGAGGGATATGTTGCTTTATTCGTCGTATTAGTGAAGATATGTCTGTAGTTTCTGGGACTGTCGCAGGAGTAGCAGGAGTAGCAGTGGTGATTGTAGGTGCAACAAATGGATTGTATGTAGCAGGAGCATTAGTAGTGGTGATGCTAGGTGCAGCAAACGGATTATACGTAGCAGAAGGCGACGGCGTATTAAAGTGCCCCACAGCAGGCGCTGGCACCGCGGCGTTGGTAGTAGAAGCTGCGGCGAACGGGTTATACACCGGCGGCGCACCAAACGGATTATATCCCTTCGTCGCCCCCTGAAGCCGGTACGTCCAAACGGATTCACAGGAGGAGACTTATCGAACAGACCCACCGCCAGCCCCGGCGGCACCTGAGCAGCAGTAGGATACGACGGTGAAAAAGACGGATTATATACCGGCAGCGGCGGCGCGGACGCTGTCGCAAACGGGTTCACAAACGGCGCTCCAGAAGCATCTTTCGGCGCACTAAACGGGTTCGCCGCAGGTCCCCCGAATATGTTGGTCTTTGGAGCCTCTGAAAACGGCGAGCTGAATGGACTCGACGACGTCGACGCCGGCGGTCCCCCAAATACCGGCGGCGCAGGCCCGCCAAACAGCGGCGGGGCTGCTCCAGATCGCCCGCCGGCGCCCGCACGCACAGAGGGATTCTTACCCGCGCCGAAAGCTGTCGCAAACATGCTTCCGGAAGCAGTAGCGGCGCTTGTCTTTCGCGTTCCGAAGAGGCTGCCACTGCCAACAGCTGGGGTTGCCGTCACTGCATGCACCATAACCATAATCAGTATTAGAACAAAGAAACCCCACCCACCCCCCACCCCCAACCTCAACAACAACAGCACATGAACAAGAAAAAAAAACTACCATTCGTCTCCCCATACCCCTTCAGCGCCGCCGCCGGCGGACTCGACCCGGGGCTGCTGAACGTAAACTGCGTGGTGGATCCGGCTGGGCCCGGTGCGCCGGTGAGGGTTGGGAGCGCTTTTGGGTTGTTGATTTTGGATTTTGGGGTTATTATCTTGCGGCCGGGTGGGGGGGTGAAGTTGCGGCCGGACATTGTGGTGGTGGTGGTGGTGGTGGTGGTGGTACTAGTTGTATGTAGAATTGAGAAGAGGTAGAGGTAGAGAGGGTAGCTAGGGAAGGGGGGTAGAGAAAAGGAAGGGGGGGGGAGTACGCTTTGTCCGTGTTTGTGGGGGAAGGGGGGCGCTCACTATATATCACTATCACCTGTCCACTGTAGTTTGCTAGCTAGCCAGCGCTGGGCCTCGAAGCTTGTTTGTGCCGTTGTGTTACAGCCCGAGTGATGGGCTGTGATGCAGGTGTTTCTCAAGGCCTATTTATCCATCCAAGCTACCTAATCCACCGGAGTACTAAAAAAGTTGGTCTTCTGCACTCACTATATACACACACCCCTCGCGAGGATAATAATTCTATATATCAAAAAGGCCCGACCCCTATAGTAGTCTTCTACCGGCCAGCCATTGAATGGAGCTTCCAACTTCAATAAAAGCGATAAGGTGAACGGCACTAGCCCACCTATTATCCTTGGCGCGCGCACTGCCGTCTAAATATCACTTCCAGCCGGGAAACATACTGAACGCCGAGATAGTCTGTCTTCCTATGGTACAGGTTCAATCCCAGGGTGGGAGGGGTGGGAGTAGTGGATTTCGACCTTCCGGCGAGAATCTGTGTTGTTTTCGTGGATAATTAGATTAAGAATCTACTGTTTTTTGTACAAAATGGAAAACGTTTTGCTATACCCTAGCCCTATATCCGACCCTGATCATGGGGAGAGGGGGGGGAGACCAAATAATGAGCAAGAAGCCAAGATAACCGTTCAAGCCGCAATCACAGGGCCGGCCAGTCAGCAATCCACTCGATATCACACCTAACCCACGAGGCCTCCCCCAGGCCGAGTGCCACCAAGCCCCAGAAAGAAAGAAAAAAAATGTCATTAAATATAAACACAAAAAGTCTTGCCGGAGAGTATGCTTTTCAGGGTGGTGAGTGCCATTTATTACACATAACGCCGGTATAGACTCCCACCCCTCGGAGCTGAACACATGACCTACTGATGGCCATGGGGACTCAACCCGCTCGGTGTCCTCCGTTGACGAGGCGAGGCGTCTACCACTATAGACCACGCTCGCCCACACAATTGTCAATGGCCCGGAAGTAATACTTAAGGGAGTGAAGGCAAAGCGACACCTAACCCTGTAATCACAATCTACATATCACCACGTATATCATGACCCACTGCATGGCCACCCTTTCGTTTCTTTTTAAGCTGGATCCCCGGATGACTGGTAATGTATAAATTGGAAAACGTTTTACTAAACACTAGCCCTCTATCCGGGCCCTGACCATGAATTAAGATCCACTCGATCATCGACACCACACCTAGTCCCCCCCCGTCCGCCCCCCTCCCCCGGGATCATGGAAGACTCAACCGGCCCACTCGGTGTTTCCCCCACGAACACTCGCCCACATAATGTTCAGCGGCCCATGCAATACTTGAACGGGGGTGAGACAGGTAAGAATATGTTTCGCCAAACCTAACCCTACACTTGGCCGTTGGATCCCTGGGAATCCGACTACATGTACATACATGAAAGGGCAAGATGAGCTATGCAGTCTCCGGCCGGAGGCGAGAAGATGGATTTGCGTGGCGGAATTAAAGGGCACGGTACGTACCAGTACTCGATTACTAAACCGATAGGCGATAGGAACTAATGAAGGATATAATTATGAAATTTCAAAACCTCAAATTTCTCCATTGGAGCCTACACGCCGCAGTTGCTAGTAGTGGGGATGGGGGGGGGGGGGGGTGTGGGTGTTGGGTGTTGGGTGCGTGTGGCTGGTTTTCGGGTGTACGTGGTGTTGGGCTCGTATAGGCGAGCTGTCGTGCCAGCACCTGTTACTGCTATGTCGATACTTGTCCGATTAATCCGTGACTGTATAGCTACATGAAGTAGTTAGACTCCTTGCCGAGACAAGAATCAAGTAACTATGTACATTCTCGTGCTACTTGTCAACTTGATGAAAATCCTACCTTTTAGAGAAGCCGGTTTATGGCCAGCGAGTGATAGTCCTATGACCAACCATAATTCTCTCGGGGATGTAAAGGGCAGGTAACTCCATGTAGGAATCGCTACATGTAGCTAGGTGGGTGTATGTAGGCTTCAGTGTAGATATATATATTCCATTGCCTTTAAAAATCTACTTTTAGCACCCACCAGCTCACGAGGCAAAAACCCGCGCCAGCACAACCTACATGACAAGAACCTAGCCGCCACCACAATTGTCCGAGTGACAGTCTGTGAAGCAACCACCACTAAAAAACCAAGAAAGAATGTAAAAACAGAGCGAGAAAAAAAAAGACGTGTACGCCGCCGCCCCCCCACCCCATCCCAGACATAATAATAATAAAAAAGGCCATAAAAAAAAGAGTAGAAAAGAAGAAGTCCATAGATAGGCTGCTGGCTATGCGACGTAGACATAGACGTTATCTTCCACGCGCTCCATGTACTCTTTATCAATCAACCTACACCGCCGCACACCCATTAGCCCCCCTCCCCCTCCCAGAAAGAAAGCAAGCAAAAAAAACATACCTCTCAATATTCCGCTTGATATCGGCCACCTCCAACACGCCCCTATTCTTCGTCTGCTCAATGACCATCCCCACAAGCTCCGAATGCCTCACCTTCTTCCTCCCCTTCATGATGCGTATCACCGCCGCCTGCGTCTCATACTGCCGATCCCTCGCCACGCCCTCATGCGTCTCGCGGTTCTCCTCCTTCGTCTCCTTGAGCTGGATCTGGTTAATCTTGACGCGAAACTTCCCATCACTGAACGCCGTATTGACCACAAACCGATCCGCCGGCCCGACATCGCGGCCGCGCGGGCTCTTCGCGAGAACACGGTGCTTCGCGCACGCCAGCGACTGCAGCGTGCGCGCCAGCTGGTCACTCGGCAGCCCCGTCGCCTCCAGCAGGTCCGCGAACGACAGCGGCGTGCCGGCCGGCACGTCGTTGAACAGCAGGAGCACGACGGCCTGGAAGGCCGAGAGCACGAGCTCCTTGTTGCCCTTCGGGAAGGCGGCCTTGAGGACGCAGTGGGAGAGGTTGTGGCGCCACACGAGCTTGCGCCCCGAGTGCTTGCTGACGTAGAAGGCCTCGAAGGCCTTGGTGTACGCCGCGATGTCGTTCGGGATGCTGATGGGCACCTCGGGGTACGATGGCCAGGCCGCCTGGCTGAGGATGTTGACGTAGAGGTCGACGTCGTGCGCCGCGCTGCTGCCGCGGGACTTGAACGAGGCGACGGCCTCGCGCGAGAGGTCGACGTCCTTGAACATGCCCTCGAGGTTGTGCGTGAAGCCCGCGCCGCACTCGGTCTTGAGCTTCGTGATCATCATGCGCTCGGCATCGGCGCTGGCGCTGCGGCCCATCAGCAGGCGCCGCGCAAGGTCCTTCTTGTAGAAGGCCTCGAACACGTCCTTGCCCTGGATGAAGCGGAACAGGTCCAGCACCCACTCGAGCATGAACGCGAGCTGCGCGTCGTCGTCGCCGGCGTGCGCGGCGAGCGCACACATCTCCGGCGACGTCGTGGCCGGCAGCCCCTTGGTCCCCGTGCGCAGCAGCAGGTCGACGAACTTCGCGATCATCTCGGCGGGCTTGCTGTTTGCGGCCGTGGAGGCGCCGGGCCGCCGCGCGTTGATGAACTTTGCGAACGACTCGCGCAGCGCGTAGCTGAGCGTCTCGCACTTGTGGAAGCTGTGCGCCTGCAGCTGGTCGAGCGCGTGCTTGAACTGCAGCAGCCGCGGCACCATCTCCTCCGTGCGCTCGTCGTCCTGCACGATCGCCGTGCCGGTGGCGGTGATGTGCGCCTCCCACGCGGGGCGCAGCGCGTCGCCCGCGGACCCGACGCGCGACAGCAGCGTGTACAGGAGGGCCAGGGAGTGCTGCTGGCGCGCCGTGAGCAGCTCGCCGACGGCGCTCTTGTCGGTCAGGATGGCGAGGCGCTTGCGCACCATCTCGTCCTCGATGACGGCGATGAGGTCGCGCTTCGTCGACTGCTCGAGCGCGAAGCGGTCGCAGCGGGCGGTCTCGCGGTCGAGCTGCGCGGACGTGGTGTGCAGGTAGGTGCCGAGGGACTGGCTGGCCGACTCGGCGGCCGCGAGCTGCGAGAAGTACGTGCGCGAGAAGGTGATGAATTGCGGCTCGAAGGCGTGGTTGTACATGCCCAGGTTGGAGATCATGCGGACGCAGGAGAGGAGGAGCGGGGTGTTGTGGGGTTGGGCGGCGCCGTCGGTGCGGCGGTCGGTGTCGATGAGGGCGAAGATGCCGCGGAGGAAGAGCGGCTCGAGGGTGGCGTCGGTGGCGATGTGCTTGCGGAAGATGTCGAGGCCGATGGCCTCAATGGGCTTCTCCTTGGCCGAGGGGAGCAGATACGACCGGTCCAGGTACAGGAATATCGACCGAATCATCCCCTGTGAAGCAAATCACGTTAGCAAACCCGCCCCCCCCCCCCCAAACCACCGTCATCCCCCACCCCCCCCAATATCAGAAACTCACCAACTGCTCATTCCACTTCCTCCACGCCTTCTCCACCTCCTTCACCACCTCTCCCCCGACCCCCACATCCCCCTTCAGCCTCCCACCCACATACCCATCCATGCGTCTCCTCAGCCTCTCCGCCAGCTGCTGGCCCCTCTCCGCACGGCATATGTTCTCCACGCCACGATACAGCTCCTCCAGGCTCGCCGCGATCTTCACGCCGCCAAAGATCGACCCCAGCGCGGCGTCAAGTGCCCCCCACGTCGTGTTGAAGTAGGCGTCGGGGTCGCCGCGGTTCGGCTTGCGCAGGTTCTTGATCTGCAGCTTGCGCGCGCCGGCGTGCGGCTGGAACGGCGGCGGGCGCGGCGTGGGCGTGGGCGGCGGGCTGGCCGTGAGGTCTATGATTGTTGGTGCGGCGCTGGCCTTGGTGGCGGCGGCGGTGGTGGTGCTGGGGAAGTTGAGCATTGTGGCTTGCGTGACTATGGTGGTGGGGGTGGTGGTGGTGGGAGGGGCGGGGGTGCTGGTCTTGGAACGGGGGCGTTTGGGCGTGGGGTGGATGTCGGATTTGAAGAGTGTTGGGATGGTGGGTTGCGGGAAGGGGGTGGTGGTTGTGGTGGCTGTGGTGGTGGGCGGCGATTGCTTTCGCTTCTTGCTGGGTGGGGGCGCGGCGTCACGGACGGTGGTGGGTGCCTTTTCGGGCATGCGGGCTCCGCGAGGGGGATTGGCGGAGGTGGAGGTGGAGGTGGAGGTGGAGGTGAGGTGGTGATGGGTGATGGGTGATGGTGGAGGTGGTGTAGATGTAGTTATGGATGCAGGTAGATGTAGATAGTGGGTGGGTGTGGATGAATGGATGAATTGATGGATGAATTGATGATGATGGTGGTGTGTAGTGGTGGTGGTGATGGTGATGGTGATGGTGATGGTGATGGTGATGGTGGGGGAGAGGGGGAGTGAGAGAGAGGGGATGTGTGGGTATTATTAAGGCCCCAGGACCTGTCTCTCAGTGCGGTGTGTGGTGTCTGTGTGCAGCATGTGTGTCTGTCTGTCTGTCGGTCTGTCTGCGTGCAGATGATGTAGACATCAACCTGCGGAGTTAACAAGGAGTTATCTCTGCATACGGTCAGACCCACCACCACCACCCACCACCCCCACCATCCACTCCACACACCCACCTACACAAGAGAACCCAGAGCTAGATAGAGCTCGACTCAACACCATGGGTGGGTGCGTGAGGTGTAGTTTTGCAAACGTGTATAATAGTTACATGTAGGTATTCCCCTCGAGAGCTACATAGAGCATTGAGCAGCGGGAATCGGGAAAAGACCACCACCATCGGCTGGCTGGGTGGCTGCCAGGCTCACCTCATCCATCCACTATCACGAATTGCAGCCGCGGAATTGCTACAGACTGATGGTCAGACAGACAGACAAACAACATGTAGAGTCCGGAGTCGAAGTCCTACTGAATGGCAGTGGGCATGTAGGTATGTATATGGGCGGTGGGTATAGGTCTGTCTGTCTGTCTGTCTGTCTGTCTGCAACGGCAATTGCCCACACTGTCCAGGGCCGATACATCCTATCCACTCTCATCACGGCCCCTCACCCTGTAGACACTCACCCTCCTCGCCCCATAGGTATCCAATCCAGGTATTCGGGTGTTCAGGTATTCACACTTTCTACTTTCTGAGACACACCCGGCAGCGTAGCACAAAGACGCCCCGCCAAGCTTCGCGAAAAAGCAAGCAAGCAACGCTCTCTCGCTCCCTCCCCGGTCACTGTTCTTGCTCCCCGGTCTCAACACTTGCACTCGAGCCTCATGTAGCTCTCACAAACACTGTCAACCACCACCGAACAACAGCCCACAACCCAACACTGCGCTCTCTCTACACCTCCCACCAAGCGGAAAAGGATACAAAAGAAGGACAGAAAAAGGAAAGAACGCGACACCACAATGTCAGACCTCCGTAACTGGGTATCCGACAACATCATCAAGGTCAGTACTGCCCTCCCTCTCATCTGCTGTCATTCCCTCCCCCCCCCTCTCAGTCCCTCCCTCCCTCTCCCCCCCTCTCAGTCCCTCCCTCCCTCTCCCCCCTCTCAGTCCCTCCCTCCCTCTCCCCCCCCTCTCAGTCCCTCCCCCCTCTCAGTCCCTCCCCCCTCTCAGTCCCCCTCCCCACAATGGCAAACACCCCACTAACCCACCACCCCCCGCCCCCAGTTCTCCGGCGCCGCAGACCCCACAATCGTCGACTTCATCATCGCCTCCGCCACCACCGCAAAGTCGCCCACAGCGCTCAACGACACGCTCTCGGCCTTCCTCGACGGCGCCAGCGCCACCGACACCCGCCGCTTCACCTCAGACCTCTTCCAGCGCGTCGCCCGCAAGCCCTCCACCTCCTCCACCTCCAGCAGCACCGGCAAACGCCCGCCGCCCGAGAAGAAGAAGAAGTATGCGCTGCTGGCCATGGAGGACGACGACGGCGACGCGGCGATGATGCCGCCGCCGCCGCCAACATCTACATCGACGCGGGAAAAGAGCAGCAAGGAGAAGCGCCGGGAGAGCAGGAAGGAGGAGCGCCGCGAGCGGGAGTCGTCGGGCCGTGATAAGGAGCGGGACAGGGACCGCCGGGACGACAAGGACAAGGACAAAGACAAGGACCGCCGCACAAAGCGCATCCGCCGCAAAGACACCGCCGACGACGACGACCGCTGGGGCGACGAGGAGCTCTCGGAACATGACTACCCCCCCTCCGACGACGATGCCGCCGCCCGCTCCCCGACCCACGACCAGCCCCCCAGCAAGCGTGCCCGCGTCGACAACGAGGACGACGCCGAGGCGCTCGACGACGAGGAGCTCGCCGAGCTCAACCGCATCCGCGACATCAAGGAGCGCGACGAGTTTGCAAAGCGCCTCAAGGACAAGGACGACCAGAAGACCAAGAAGCTCGTCGAGGACCGGTCGTCGACCAAAGACGGCAAGCTCCTCGCGCAGCGGCGCGCCCTCGCCGACGACGCCACGGCCCGCAGCGCCGCCCTGCCCGACCTGCGCGAGCGCTCGCGGCAGGAGTATCTCAAGAAGCGGGAGCTGGAGCGGCTGGCGCTGCTGCGCAAGGAGGTGGCCGAGGAGCAGCAGGAGCTGCGCACGAACCCCGACCTGACGCGGCGCGAGAAGGAGGAGTTTGCAAAGAACAAGGAGATCCTGCGGCTGGCGGAGGAGCGGCTGCGCGTCGACGACCACCTGGACGGGTACATGCTGCCCGAGGACTACATCACGGAGAAGGGCAAGATCGACGTGCGCAAGAAGGAGGCGGCGCTGTACGAGCGGTACGTGGAGCGCGGCGACGACGGCCAGGAGCGCTTCGTGACTGAGCAGGAGGAGTGGGAGCAGCACCAGGCCGAGAAGGCGCGCGCGCAGGTGCGCCGCAGCGAGCGCGTCGACGAGGGCGAGTACGAGTATGTGTTTGACGACTCGCAGCAGCTGAGGTTTGTGCTGGAGAACACGGACGTCGACAGCAACTCGGTCTTCACGAGCAAGGAGCAGCAGCAGATGGAGCAGCAGCTCAAGGCGGCCGAGAGCAGGGCGAAGAGCATCGACGAGACGCGCAAGTCGCTGCCCATCTACGAGTGGCGCCAGCGCTTCCTCGCCGCCGTCGAGCAGTACCAGGTGCTCATCATCGTCGGCGAGACGGGGTCCGGCAAGACCACGCAGCTGCCGCAGTACCTGCACGAGGCCGGGTACACGCAGGGCGGGCTCAAGGTGGGCTGCACGCAGCCCCGCCGAGTCGCCGCCATGTCCGTGGCCGCGCGCGTGGCCGAGGAGATGGGCGTCAAGGTCGGCAACGAGGTGGGCTACTCGATCCGCTTCGAGGACTCGACCTCCGACAAGACGGTGCTCAAGTACATGACCGACGGCATGCTGCTGCGCGAGTTCCTCACCGAGCCCGACCTCGGCGGCTACTCGGCGCTCATGATCGACGAGGCGCACGAGCGCACGCTCTCCACCGACATCCTCTTCGGGCTCGTCAAGGACATTGCGCGCTTCCGGCCCGAGCTCAAGCTGCTCATCTCGTCGGCCACCATGGACGCGCAGAAGTTCTCACGGTACTTTGACGACGCGCCCATCTTCAACATCCCCGGCCGCCGCTACCCCGTCGACGTGCACTACACGCAGCAGCCCGAGGCAAACTACCTCAACGCCGCCATCACCACAATCTTCCAGATCCACACCACCACGCCGCCGCAGGGCGACATCCTCGTCTTCCTCACGGGCCAGGACGAGATCGACGCCGCCGAGCAGAACCTCCAGGAGACGTGCCGCAAGCTCGGAAACAAGATCCGCGAGATGATCATCTGCCCCATCTACGCCAACCTGCCCTCGGAGCTGCAGGCAAAGATCTTCGAGCCCACGCCCGCCGGCGCGCGCAAGGTCGTCCTCGCGACAAACATCGCGGAGACGTCCCTCACCATCGACGGCATCGTCTACGTCATCGACCCGGGCTTCGTCAAGGAGAACGTCTACAACCCGCGCACCGGCATGGAGTCCCTCGTCGTGACCCCCTGCTCCCGCGCGGCCGCCAAACAGCGGATGGGGCGTGCGGGCCGTGTCGGCCCGGGCAAGTGCTTCCGCCTCTACACGAAATGGGCCTACCAGAACGAGCTCGACGAGAACACCACCCCCGAGATCCAGCGCACGAACCTCAACAGCGTAGTCCTCCTGCTCAAGTCACTGGGCATCAACGACCTCATCGAGTTCGACTTCATGGACCCGCCGCCGGCCGAGACGCTCATCAGGGCACTCGAGAACCTGTACGCCCTCGGCGCACTCAACGACAAGGGCGAGCTGACCAAGATCGGCCGGCAGATGGCCGAGTTCCCGACAGACCCCATGCTCGCCAAGTCCATCCTCGCGGCCGCCACCTACGGCTGCGTCGAGGAGGTGCTCTCCATCATCGCCATGCTCGGCGAGTCCTCGTCGCTCTTCTACCGCCCCAAGGACAAGAAGTTCCACGCGGACCAGGCGCGCGCGCGCTTCACGAGCAAGGACGGCGGCGACCACGTCACGCTGCTCAACATCTGGAACCAGTGGGTCGACACCAACTTCTCGTACGTGTGGGCGCGCGAGAACTTTCTGCAGTTCCGGTCGCTGGGGCGGGCTAGGGACGTGCGCGATCAGCTGCATCGGCTGTGTGAGCGCGTGGAGGTGGAGGTGGTGGCGTGCGGCGGCACGAGTAATGTGTTGCCGGTGCAGAAGGCGATTACGGCGGGGTTCTTCCCGAATGCGGCGCGGCTGCAGAGGGGCGGCGATACGTATCGCACGGTGAAGAATGGGCAGACGGTGCATGTGCATCCGAGTAGTTGCTTGTTTGAGGTCAACCCGAAGTGGCTGATTTATTATGAGCTGGTGTTGACGAGTGAGTTCTTCTTCTTCTTCTTCCTTCTTCCTTCTAGTAGTAGTAGTAGTAGTAGTAGTAGTAGTTGTGCTAATATAGCGGACGTGGACAGGCAAGGAGTTTATGCGCAACGTGATGCCGCTGCAGCCCGAATGGCTCGTCGAGGTGGCGCCGCACTACCACAAGAAGAAGGACCTGGAGACGCTGGGCACGAACAAGAAGATGCCGAAGGGGCAGGGCGCGCCGGCGGAGAAATAGCTGTTGTTGGGTGCGTGCGGGACTGACTTTGGGTGGTTAACGAGTGATGGGATATGACCTGTGGAGTAAAAAAATGTAGAATTAATATTATATTGTAACTGATAGAAAGAGAGAGGTGGAAAGGTACATAACGAGATAGTGTGTGGTCTGCGGTGTGTGGTCTGCGGTGTGTGGTCTGCGGTGTGTGGTCTGCGGTCTGTGGTCTGTGGTGTTGGGGCGGAGGTGGTTGCGGCGGCGGCGGCGGCGGCGGCGGCGGCGGCTTGGCGAGTGTTCATGGGGTATCACTCGTGTGCCAAGCAAGCGCTAGAAGCCGCATCCCCGGCCGGGGAGGGGAATTGAATTAAAGTGCTGTTTAGAATTGATCAAGTGCGGTCATGAAATATCACTCGGTCTATCGGCAGAGACAGAATTTCTTTTTTTTTTTTTTGGTTTAATTCATTAATTCGGCAGACACAGAAACCTAGAAGCAATTTTTATTCTTCCGGCATCACTGTATAATATGCCGTGCGCCATGAGCTATGCAAGAGGTATAAGCGAAAATATGACATGTATCCACATCCCAAACATAAAGAACCGTAAATCATCCGCTGCCCTCTTTCTCGACTCCTCTTAAGCTCTAACCAGCCCCTGCCGCCCCACCGACCATTTATTTAGGCCGCCTTATGGCGCTCCCGGTCCCTTTCCTTATGGTGCCCAATATCCGTCCTCTCATCCTTCCGGTTTGCGGCTTCCACTTCCAAGGCTCCAGCCCAGCGTCAGTAGAAACCTTGAACCGGTTGTCGGGCGGGTGGTAGCCATTACCTCGATCGAATAGGATAATCGGGGTGTATCCACGTCTTCCTCCTCCCGCGTTAATGGGAGTAAATCCTCCCTCTTTACCTAGTACTGCGAGAGCACACTCTCTCCCTACAAGAGGACGTACTCCTCCTCATCCGGATCGACCTCGCCTTCCCGCTCCACATCGTTCCCGTCGGTGTCGAGCTCGACCCACTCGTCCGGGTCAATCTCCACATAGATGCCGTCCTCCTCTCCCGTGCGCCGGAGCCTCGCCGCGGCCTGGCTCAGTTCGCGGATGCAGTTCATGCTAAGATCCTATGTCACCACACATCGTTAATCAACCATGCCCAAGGGGGGAGGGGGGGCGATGGATGAGTGAGGGAAAGACACCATAAGTGAGAGCTGCTGGACAAGATCCCAGGGCTCGGGGTCGCAGTTGCTGACGAGGTGTTGTTGGTCGATGTAGTTGGGGTACATGTGCATTCTCTATTGAGCTGGGTGGTCAATCTTGTATATTTACTTGTATATGCATCAAGAATTCTGGAGACTTACGTCCATGACGGCTCCACATGTTATCCGGGGAAGGTAGGGCTTTGGGGGAAGGATAATTCCCATTTCCTGGATAGCGGTGGCGGTGTTAGTCTCACTATCTATTTCTTTCTTACGGAGTAATTGAGTAATTATGAGGCAATCTAGCAATGTCTTACATCGCAGCTTATTTCATACTCGACGATGGTTATGCTTTTAGGCTTCTTCTTGATCTTTCTCGTCACTTTTTGCTCTTCGTTTGGCTCTTTGCTTGGCCCTCCGTTTGGTTCGTAGTTTGATTTTTGGTTTTGTTCTTTCTTTTGATTTTTCTTTTGATCTTTATTTTCATCTTTATTTTCATCTTTCTTTGACGCTTTCTGCTGCTCCTCCTGCTCCTGTCGCCGCCGTAGCTGTTGCTGTTGCTGTGACCGCTGCTGTTGCCGTGGCCGTTGCTCTTGCTGCCGCTCTTGCTGCAGCTCCTGTGAAGCATTATTGTTAGTCATAGTTAAATTATAAAAGTTAGGAAATATTTCTGTAATGACCGTGTCAAAGGAGCGTGGTGGTGGCGCTGATGAAATGTATAAAAGGAGTGTAATCCATGGCAGTGGCGGGAATAGAATGGATCGCCAGGGAGAGAGATTAGTTGACTTTATATAAGGGTGTCTCTACCCTATATCGATTTCCGCGTGTGACTGGAATATTGGCCCGTGTCATTGCTGGTCATGCTGGCTGTGCGTTTGGTAATTGTTACGTCGTTCCCGTCCGGGGAGATAACTGGGCCGGTATATAAGTTTAGGAGCACGAGGTGGGTGGGGGTTAGAGGGGGTGTTTTGAGGGGTGTTATGAGGAGATGGGGCGTCTTTTAAATTTGGGGGTATATATTTGCACTTACGGCCGTGTGTAACCTGGCGAAGTTTTGATATATATAGAGGAACTACATGTACTGTATATATAGCAGCCAAAATATTCCAAAACCAGTCAGAGTAATCGGCTACTATATATCATACCGAATTCGTGATATTTAGCTACTAATTAAGCACGAGCGAAGAAAAGAAACGCAGAACCACTGCATCATACGCGATCACTCGGCCATCTTCTACGAGTTGAAACGGAGTTATAGGAAGCATATCTGTATGGCAACCACACAACTCCGTTCCATTCCCTTTGAAATCCCGTCTTTCCAAAAACGGCTGCGTTTGGATAGGACGTTGAAACGAAGTGCTTCCGAGCCTAGGAGGACATATAGTGACGTCATGTATAGGCTCCTAGGTGTGTATATAAAGAGCTCATCGACGTCGTCTACGGTAGTAAATGCATGAATCTTTATATAAGCCTGTGCATGGCTCGCGCGACGTTAGTGCACGACACTAGTGCAGCTTGGTCCTTGCATCTTGATGCCCCCAACCCAATTAAGCCCTGTCGCGAGTGAGTGGTGCGATGGGCGCAAACCTTCCAACGACGTCGTCCTTCATCCTCATCACAAATTTGGCCTCAAAAGTGTACCCACCAACATGACAGGCACTCTCTCCTATGCGTGCCACTCCTTTTAGGTTCCAACTTCTCTCGAAAAAACAGAAAGAAACAAAATAAAGCCTCGGAGGAATCTAACCTCCGATACCTTGATTAACGCGGCCGAAGCGGCATTAATACAAAGAAGCAATGTCATTACTACACCACACCACCACCGAAGCTGCTGATGTGTCTTGGGCGGGAAAACATATTTGGCCTTTTTAGCCAATATATCCGGGCACATCTTGGAGGTGATAAAACCTCATTTCGAGGCTCTCATATCAAGAAAGGGCACTTATACTTTGAATTATATTATACCCTGGGCTCGGAAGCCATATTTCGACATTAGTACGGACTTATCAACACTCACCCTCACCGGCCCTGAACATATATATATACATATTCGCCCGGTTAACGAGCAGATTCGATATCACGCATAAAAAGACAGTATTGGGCACTTCAAGGTGGGACGGATGGCGGCCTCGAGGCATGCAACTTCATTGAATAGTATACAATCAGCAGCGAATCATACCCGCCATCATGCATCAATTCTCGGTATCGGAGCCCATTTATCGACTTTTTTTTACCTGACAGCACCGCGGGTCCCGGAATCAGGTTTCTCTGGTGGATGGTACGTGAGTGGATAGGACGATTCCACTTCTTGTGCAAATAACCTCTGTCAGTATCTAAGAGATCAGTCATAGCCAGTCTGCTCCGGCCCATTCATACACCTTCGGCGCCGCCATTTGCCCTCAAGGTTAGGAGTAGAGATCGCTCGTGGATCCTTCTCCTCCTCCTCCTCCTTGTTATAGCCACCCCAAGCCCTCCTGCATTAATGTCATAAAATAATCTCAGGGCTCAATTATCAAGCTCCTCACTCGAAAGGGAAGGTGAGAATGGGATAAGAGCACTGTTGAACGGCTATTGAACGACTATTGAACGTATATGTAGTTGCTGGAAGTACTCATATATAAAGGGGACTATCCGGTACACACTTTCTTTTGTCGTTGGCCACTCTCTTCTTCCCTTTTAATTTAGCTAGCGAATACAAGCCCTTTTTGAGACACTCTTCGGGACGTATTGCATGCATGTAGCTCGCGGAAAAGAAGCATAGAGGAGGCTAAAGATACAGCACTCTGGTAAAGAGCTTAATGTCAAGGGATGTAGGGCTAGAGGAAGAGGACAGGGCTGGGCGGAACGATAAACCTACCGGCAAGGAAGGTAAACGAAAGAGTTGTCAGAATGGGAGAATCAAAACATCCTGGGAGGATATCAGACGAATGAGCTGCTGTTGCTGGTGATAATACCCGCGATTTTAGAAAAAGGGGTGGAGTTTAGATTCGAAGTACAGGACTGACATGAGAGCCAGAGACTACTTCCGGCCCCGATTGACCTCTAACTCTGAGCCGTGCTGAACATTTCCCGCTTGTAGACAAGCGAAATATATGTAGGTGTCTTATGGGTATGCGCAGGAAACCATCCAAAACAGTACTGTGGTAGGGGAATCATTCCCTCCAATTTAGATGCAAAACGAATGCAGCGCACGCAGGTTTCTGTAGCGCACTTCCCATGGAGCATCTCAAGCCAATGTTATTCTCGATTATACCGCTAGGTCAATGATCACCTGCCGCACAACTGGTCAGAACAACGCTAACCTTTTTCGCAGGCCTTTGGTCGACATCAACAGGCTAGGGCCGTGGAACAGGCCTTACAGACCTAACGTATCAGCTATCTACAGAAAGAAACATCACAACTAACTTCAGAAAGAAAGAAAAGGTTCCCAATCCTCGCTAGGCGTACTTGGAAGAAGATGCGTTTACTAGTGGCTGTGAGGGATGAGGAGAAGTGGAGTGAAGGCCGGCTTCTATTCCCCGGTGCAAGTTGAAGTATCCCAAGTCCTTCTGAGTTCTGACTACAGAACAGGAAGTAGATCAAAGTTTCTGTTAGATAGTAAATAGATCAAAAGCTAGCAAACGACCCCGCCGTGGTTTTTCGGTGCAGATTAATAATATCGCTATTTTCTTAATTATTGCTACAAGATGGGGCTTCATATACCCAAAATAGGTGGCAAGAACATGTTCTAGACCCTCATAAGTAAACATGGAAAACTGTCCTTGGCGAACATAAAATCCAAGAAAAACCCCAACCCGGAAATTTAACTCCCAGGCCCGAAAGCCCAAAATCAACACCCACGCCTGCCGCCAAGACGAGTGATGGCTTATGAATTAACCTACTAACCACTAAGTGATTAGTCCGCGGACTTCAAGACTATATGTACATACCAAATCTCACCAATGCGACATGTTTGCGGAGCTGTCTTGCGTTTTCTCCCCCTAGAGGCTACGTTTTCGGCTGAATACATAGGAAGCGGGTGTTAATATACTTACCCATGATGCAAAATGTCGACTCGTCCACATACCGTGCATCGACAATTTTGGCATCGGCCACGAATCCTCTCTAACTAAAGCCGGGTAGCGACTTCGAGATACTTCGGCTTTATTGATAATTGAGCTTTGTCCCGCGTCAGGTCTAGAAGCTTGATAGAAAATTGCAAGGCTATCTAAGGCTCGGGGTTTGTGGTGGGTGGTGCTTTGGGCTTTCCTGTGGTTGTGGTTAGCTAACTTAGATGGCCCTAATTTATGTATGCTTCTTTGGTTATAGTTATATCTAGTAACTCTGTGGTTTAGGGGTTGTGCAAGACCCTCAGCCGTACGCGTGAAGGGTTTATCGACCTCACCCTAAGACAACGTACCCACATGACAGAAGCTTCCAATCGATCGACGTATCCGGAGAAAGCTTCAGTGGTTGGGGTTAGCTAATGTACAGACTGCTTACATTCAGTCTAGATCTCGGTAGCTAAGACTTTCTCCGTGGGCGCCAGCTAGAGACCCAAGTAACAAATAACTCACGCCTACCGCACATGAGTCGAGTGATAAGCCCGCCAATAAACCCAAAAACCAAAGCTTTGAGATATCCGCCGTCATGCACGCCTCCCAAGGCTTCCACCACCTCCTCCGCTTCCGACCCACTGCTGTCTGTTTGTCTGTCGTCCCTCCTCTCCCTCCTGTGCCACCAATGCACAGGGTTAGGGCTGCGGCGAAGTTAAAATAAGCAACACCACCACCGACGCAGGGGATCCTTCGATTCAGATCTAGATCCACCGCCCCTGCACATCAGACATGTGTTCCAGATAGAGCTCGACCTCCGATTAACTTTGTCCCTGCGCTCCACTCTGGCCGGGGGGCTTACAAACAAAAAATCCCAGGGACGACTCTGCCAGAATTCCAACCGGCGGCCATGACACATTCCGACGTTCCTGCAGCACAGAAGATAAAAAAAGGCAAGACACAAGATCGGCTTGCCCGTAATAAAATAAAATAATAAAAAAACAAATCCCAACTCCCCGGTTCGGAAGGAAACGCAAGGCAAGTACGAAGGTGAAGTGTTTGAGGTAAGGGGACGTGCTTGTGTGATGTATGTAGAAGCAAAACATCGGATGGGCGGGCCAATTGGCACAGCATACCGTACCGGCCCGATTCCGAGGGGCACATCATTTCCGGATGTACCTGCTGTGCCTTCTCGCTTGTGCTGAGCCGGTTTATGCGTTGAGGATCCTTCGTGTGGGTGCATCTTATTCTGCCCAACTATTATATTGTACTCGTTAGTAACTACGTACAATATGACGGTCATAATCAGGAGACAATGATAGAAGATCATGGTTATAGCGGCACTTGGGTCTGAGTAATTGGAATCAACATTTGGAAGTTTCGGCCCTCGGAATGACCTAGTACCAAGCAGAGTAACAAAGACATCACCAGATTTGCACATGGAGTTATGAGGTAAAAAAAATCAAAGATATGCCAAATGCATACTTCAAGTAAGTAAAGTATATACAACCTTTTGAAGAGTAAGTAAAAGAAAAGACTCCCGCCAGATAAACCAATAACCCACCTAAGCTGCACATACAACAGTGGGTATATATATGAACAGATAATCGGATAAAACAACAAAAGAAAGCAGCAACCAAGGGTAAAAAAATCCATAGCCAAGTTGGCATGACCCCAACGTAACAAATTCATCCCCAAGCCAGTGACCCAATTTTTAAGCCCATTCCAACCGTACCGTAAAACCGAACCGATTTATATAAACCACAAGTAGACAAATGAAAAAGTCCGTAAGGACTGCAGACCCATCTGGGCAATAGTAAGGAAAATGCAGAAAAGAACACCTAAAACCCAAAAGAAAAGCTCGTAAAATCATCATCTCCTATCCAAACAAACAAACAAAAAATCCAATCCCGTAGATTTTAACAAATAAAAAAGAAGAAAAAACTACCCCCTAGTGCCCTGGAAGGCCAATCGGCATCCAGCTTCTCCTTTCATCCATACTCCTCGCAATTCTCCCTCCGGGTGTCAAAGGGGGCAATAGTCTCCTCTGCGTAGCCTGTCCACTCTCATCTTCCTCATCCGAAACCTCGCCAGCCGTTTCATCTGCAAGTCTTTGGAAGTAATCCGCAAGCCCTCCGTTCGAAACCACAGAATCGTACTGCGGCGGAGGTGTGACAAGTGGTGGCGGAGCAACATCGTGATCGAATGGGGGTGGTTGATATGAAGGCACTCTAATGAGATGCATTGGCCTTGATGCGCCGCTGTTAGGGTCAAAAGCCGGCGGGCTGTCGTTTACAGATCCAACCAATGTCGAACTTGAGCTCCTTGATGAAGAGACAGTAGGGGTTGCATCACGGGGCGAGTTGCGACGGCTAAGGGGTGGGCAGGAACAGGTGCCACCAGTAGCCTGTCCAGAATTGTTGCTGTCATAGGCCGGAAGGTCGGTATTTGCTCCAGCTGCGCGACAGGAAAGAATATGGAATGGAGAATCGATAGAAATTTCGAAGTGGCGGCGCTTCGTGGGATCGTTGGGATCTGTCTTGCTAAGACGCATCACGATCTATACAGTCCATGTTAGTTTGGGAAACAAGGCACCAAGACAGGGAAATAGGATCCTACCTTGATCCAATGATGGACCTGGATATTTTGATACGTAGTATCAAAATGTATCCGGTCCTTCTCCTTCGCATTGCAGCCAGGAAGCTGGATTGAAAATTCCATCTCAGTGGGTCCAATATTATTCTCTCCATTCAAATCACCAAGCAAGCTGTCTGACCCATTCCCAGAATCGATATTCTGACCCTCTCCGGCGGTTTGGCTTGGGTCAAACCCGCCACCAGCAATCACCCTGGCAGACGATCCTGTAAATGCCGATGATGCCGGGCCATCGGCCCTCTTCTCATACAACTGGACCTTCTTCGTCGGATCCAGTCGATGCACCTTCTTATTCTTGCAAGAATATTCGATATTCTCAGTGATGAATATCTTGATTCGGTGGCACCGTACTTTCGCAAGCGGCGTCAACTTAAACGCGATGGGGATTTTTGAGCCTAGCGGGAACGACTTCCCCGAGATGACGATGTCGTAATGAAGCTGGTCCTCCCACGTGCGACTGATTGCAATGGGCTCCGAACATTCCAAGCTCGACTCCGCCGGACATCTAATCAGCGTAACATCCTTCCTTCCCACCAAGTTTGGTCGGAAAGCTCCAGGCCGCTCGATAACCCCCTCCAACTCATACTTCACAGACCCCATATCCACATCGATCGTTTCCGGTAGACAACTCTCCAGCGGCAGCTCGAAGTTGTAAATGTAATCGCCCGGTTGGAAGACTCGGTAGCCACGTTGCGCCACCGTGACGCTGTTTGGTGATTCGCCTTTGCTGAAGCTTCGTGACTGGGAGAGCTGCAGTGATAGGCGGCGTTCTGATGCAGATCCAGCCATGGCAGGCGTAATGCCAAGGGGAGACGCAGAGCGTGCCAAGTGTCCAATGGCGGAGGTAAGAGACGAAGTGCTATCACTAGAGCTCTTGTAGAGACGGCAAGAATCCGCACAATGTCCGATCTCGGCAGTTGCGAACTGAGCATTGAAGAACGGCCATGTATGTTTCATAATTTCCTTCTCTTCCCGATACTCCGACTTCTTTGGCGGGATGCCTAGAATTTTCCAGAATGTCAGCTAACTCTCCACCGTCATTATTACGGAATCTAGGGTTTCTGTGATAATTACCTTCTGGCCACTCGGTCGTTGCCTTTCCCTGGAACGTTAAACTGATAACCTTGATCTTCGTCGGCTTCGTTACTCTCAAAACCAGACATCCCCGCAGCATCGCCGGCGTCCTATTCGAGTGATCACTCTGGTCGAACCCCTGCAAGAACAACATCGGTTCGGCAAGCTGGATCGTCATCGTAACCGCTCCTCCACTCGTCGCAGCCTGCGGCTTTTCTGATGTCAGCATTCCCCCCGACCCGCAGTCGTGCGAGTTATTGCTATTACTTGTCCATGCCGGCGAGAGATGCCCCGTCGTCCTGGTGCTGCAGTTGCTGCTGCTGTTGCTGCTGCGTAGTGGCTGCGGCAACGAGAGATGCCGGGAATGTGAACTTGTACGGTGGGCAGGAATGCCAGACATTCCACCGCCCATCGCTCTCGAAACTCGCATTTTGGAATTTGAGGACTGTGAAGGCTCCTGGGACTTTCGGCTTGAAAACGAAGACGTGGTTGAAACGGCGTGAGCAAACAGTCGCTTTGCGACGGCCGAGGGCGTCCTCTGTATCCGTCTAGCAATCGACTCTGCCGAGTTGTAGAATTGCTGTGAGGACGACGACGATGATGATGAGCTTTCTGTGGGAAGCTGAGCGTGGCTTCTTCGTCGGGAAGCTCTACGGGAACTGCAGGTAGTATTTGAGGCAGAGGCAGAAGCTCGGGTGTTGCGCCGGCCCGGATGTGCGGTGGAACCGGTATTTGTAACTGCGGGGGGGTTCTGGGCAGCGTTAATAACTGTAGATGTCATCATGTCGGTAAACGGATCGTCTATCAGATAGGGAATGATATGGTGTCTATCAAGTTGTATAGTATGGTATATAAATAGGTATCGGGGTGGGTGGGTGATATTTTGTGGAATATGCCAGCGTCCACAGAAACAAATATAACGAAGGTATTGTAGATGATTGAGGTAACGGTATGAACAACTTCAACGGCGGGAGAATGGGACGAATTTTAAGAAGAGATGAGGGGAGGGAGGTGGGGGGCGGTGGAGGTAATATGTATTATGAGGATTGGGATATCTGAATATGGATATATGCAAACACCGTGACAGTGTCCTATGAATGCGGCGGAAAGGGCAAGCTTACTGCCACTTAATAATCCTCGTCGGCACAGGCACAAGAAGGCACGACAATAATGCTGGCCGGAGGTGTCTCAATGTGAACCGATTCGGCCTTTTTTGTCTTTCCCTGCGAAGTGTGGGGGAGTAAGTGTGAGGGATTCTTTAATATAATATCAAAAAGGTCCGCCTAGAATTGCAGCAGATGTTAAGTAAGGCAAGGTATGTGGTAAGTGGGTACAGAGACGGGTGAATGCAGCAAGTGAGTGAGTGAGAGAGATTGAAAATTGAATGGGCGTATCGTGAACTATGTGGAAGTAAACAGTCCGAGTACTGGGGATGAGAGGCAAGACAACGTAGTTGCTTGTCCATGTCTTTATTTTCCTACTAGTAGCCAAAAATCAGGATTCCCTGTGTGCCAGCCATGATGAGCCCTGACAGGCCCTATCCTACAGGGTTAGATGGTGGTTGGTAAGGCAAGGCGGCCGGGAATGTCTTTCTCGCTCGTCCCTTCATCCTACATGTAGCCATTAACCTCTCCGAAACCCATCATCTAGAGTATTTATGCTCCACAACCCGGACTGTCATAGGCCTGCGGTTTTTATTATTATTTAGACACCTGCGATGAGGGATCAGGCTTGATGCTGGCAAACTGTTGATTCATCAAGCCGGTATCTACGGCAAGGCCATGACGAAGAGACGCATTGCAATGTTATTGTAGGGAACATGGCAGTTACGTTAACCACCAGCTTCCTGCATATATATGAGGATAAGAGCTGGATTGGGCACATAAACCTTTCGAATAATGCTCTGGCCTGCCCACTTTCACGTTCAACTCAACGGCCACCACCGCAACACATCCTGTCACTCATCTTTTTTTTTTTCTTTCTCCCCCCACAAACGAACAGAAAAGGGTTTAAAATTATAATGCCTTTCCTTTTCCATTTGGAGGCGCTGGGCGGGTGCCATTTCAAACCTTACTGCCTTCTTATCTCACTCCACGCGCCGAGCGCTTTCATGATCATCTCATCCAGATGACAAAAAACATTATTAACCCGCCAGCAGATTTGGAATCCTACCTTCCTACCCTCTTTGGTCGGCGGAGGCCTTTCCAGCAGTAGAGCACGGCTGTCCCTGGTTCCCGGATGCATCCCCGTGTGCGCGCATGACATCAGGAAAAAAAAAATAAGGAAGTCCGTTCCATAACATCTGTTCTTGTGCTGCATGAATTTGTGTTCTGCACCACCCGCAGCCACATTCAATGCTGCCACATCTGGGGTTCGAATCCTCATGTGCCCTGTTATGATGCTCCCAGCACACTTTTTTATTCCCGGCCAGGAAGCGATTCGATCCACTCTGCAAGATATGACACTTCCCCGTCAAGATGTGCTGGTCGTCCCTTCCATTTGTTGTTGAGCAAGCGGTTCCTTGAATTTTTTTTCATTTTTCATTTGCTGCAACACAACATCGGTAGAGCGGGCTTTAATCGGGACAGAGACACCGAGTCAACTGGTCCGGAGGTTAACAATTTCAGTAAACAAGGAAATTATCACCGAAATGACAAGACAACGGCGACACAACGTGCGTTGTGGAGAGTCAAGTTTTGCCAAGAAACAAGACCGTTGACAAATTTTTCGCTACCCTATCGGTAGTTAAGGTTTCGCCTTCGCTTCATGACGCGATTTACTTCCAGAAAACTCCATAGACCTATTTCCATCTCTCTTCGCGAGGAAAAAAAAAGGCACAACTTGAAGATACAGTTAAAAACATCGGTAATACACCGTTTCTCTGTTTCTGCTGCTGCACATAGAGTAGTTACAGAACTACAGACAAGACAGACCCTGTGAATGGACCCCGGCACCCCTGGGCTTGTCAAACCCACAAATCTTTGTGGATCTCTGGTTCCACACACGCCCCATTCCGTATTGGTTAAGGACAACCCTGCCAAGTGAAAGCCCTCGCCCTTACCGACGGAAGCCCCACACACCATCATCACTACCAGTCTACCTACCACACACCCGTGTGGCTTAACTGCTACTCTAGCACTCGGTTGCTTCTTTTTTTAGGTACTCCCGTGCCCCCCCCAAAAGCCTAAAAGATCACTCGCTAAAGTTTCATATCTTTGTACTTGCCCTAAAGTAAAGTACCTATCGATATCTAGGGACTGAGTGAGATGTTGGATAAACATTCCACCAGCGCTTGGGACAATCAATATATGTATGCACCACTACAACGTATGTGGGTACTTATCTACCTTCCCTTTATGCAAGTCGTAGACAATACAATAATGCGGAGAAGTGTGGCAGTGGTGGTAACTTTATCCAAGTTGACCCAAGAAACAATAAACGCGCGTAACCCAAGCCAGTTTCCTCTTCCACTTACTCTACAAGGCGCACAGCATATACTCTAGGTAGAGTATATCTGTAAGAGTATGATCACTCTACCAGCTTACATACATGCTGTGTAGATACAACCATATTTTAATATATGCACTCATCTTCGCTGACACAAAAGCTCGCGGATGTTCCCCCGCGCTCGCGGCTGTAGACCTGTACGTACCCCGACCCCGATCATGGCGTCCGCCAGGGTATCCGAAGCCGAGTTTGTGGGAGGTTAGTGTTCTGGTAGGTCAATCGATTGAGGCGCGGCGGTGGGGGGCAGCCTCGGTTACGACGAGCCTTGCATTGGGAAATATGGGTTGTAATAGAGTTTATTGGAGGAGGTGATGTTTCTACGATCAAACCTTCTCAAAGCCTGACTCGTAATGGGAATGCAGCGCCTGTGGCATGCTATGTAATTCAAAGGAAGGGGTTAGGTGATATCGAATACGAACAATAATAACAATGATAATAACACATAATGTGAGGGTATAGAGGTAGGTATTGTTTGCTGCACTGCACAGCCCTTTCAAAATACGAGATAGAATCAAATCCCAAGACCGCAACTCGTGTTGTGTTTATTGTCGTCGAATGAATGTACTACACGGCATAAGACATGCAAAATAGTCCCTTACATCACCTCAAAGAAGAGCTACCAATGGCACCCGTGTGGAAGCCAGTAGAGGATTAACTAAAGCCAAAGATAACGGTGTCATTCGGAATCTCGGATCCTCACACTGAATCTTTGGCTACGGCGATCGTGAGTATCCATTGGTAAAGTATCTCGGCGGTATGTATGTCGGGGCCTCAGATCTTCTATGTACTCGTATTTTCCTGACGTTTGTGGACGCGACTGATATTGCATGCCATACAAAAATACGCCAAGCTCATGATTTTGGGTGTATGCAATAATGGCCCAGTTCAAAAACGTCAGGAAGATACTAGTACGTACCTACGTCCGCAGTGTGCAAGACGTCGGAAATAGAACAGCGCATCATGGCCGAATTGAGGGTATAACCTGTCCGTTTAGAGTAGTCTTGACATCATCCCTCAGGGCTACCAGGATACAGAAAGCTTGGTCCGTCTTGTGGTCTAGGCTTTTATTCCGCGCGTAAAGTACAAACGAACAAAACACAAATCCTGAGATGGTATGGGATGAAATGCGGATCAGGAAAGGTCCGTGTGCGGTTTGTCAGGCTATCCTGGGCAGCCTGTGCCCTAAATACATGTAGGATGGCCGGGGAGATAACAAATAGCAGGCTTTGGAGGGAGATTGACGGAGTTCGGGTTGGCGTGGAAAATCCTTGTGGGAGGGCAGTTGGGTCATATTTTGTCACTCGGAAAGTAGTCTGGTTTTGAAACTTTCACCGCGGTGGATGGTGTTTCAAGGCCCCGTACGTACTGGAGTAGTGACCATGGGCGGATATATAATTCTTGGGATAAGAAGCCTAGAGTATGATTTTTGGTACACCTAGGGCGGGTTTGAAGCTCAGGAAGCCATATGAATCGTAGCAACAATCCCCAATGTTCCCATCGGTACCACTATCATTTAACATGGCGACCAGGAACCGTAAGCCTCCTCCTATGATATTGGCCCCACTCGCCTAACCCTTGAAATACCCTTGTAATACAGGAGAAAAACAACAAGAAGAAATTACCATATACGTATAGTACTCAATCTGCTGCTTTCAGCTTGAGTGTTCTCGTTGCAGACCTTGCAAATTAGTGAACCTGCAAAAGCTGATACCAGATGTTATTCAGCGCATCTCCCGTAGTATGACCAATCTAGCCCTCCTCGACCGAGCACGCAGATCCAGAGCTGATTATCCAGGAGTTCCCTGCCATAAGCCGAACCACGGCTAACCCTCGCTCGGGTGCAGTAATCCTAAACCAAAAGCGCCCCATCAACCCTGTTCGAAGTTATGAACAGCTTCTAGAACCCCTGGTGTCCTTCTGCATCACAAGGATTCCCGCATTGAACCTCAAGGGGGTATCTTGAGCTGCATAATACCGAAGATCTAACCTAAGTCGATCTCTTCATGTCAGAAACCAAGGGTATGGCATGTAAAATCAGTCAAACCATTCCTCATTCTGCGGATCGGTTGGTTATGTTAATCACCAGCAGGTATACATTGTCGTTTAGGACATGAAAACCCTTGATCGTGAAGGTGAAGTTTACTCAAGCACACTCCAGTGGCGAAGATAAATCTCTACGGCGATCTGGTTCATGTTTAATACCAGTAAACGGAGTCAAATCCACGCTGCTGCTGGTGAAGGGCACCTGAAAGCTGACACGAGGGGATTGATTCAATCCTAGAGCAAAGGTCTAAAAGGCCAAAACTAACGTGCGACAGTAGACGAAATGGTGGCAAGAGCAGAATTCAAAGGAGCAGAGCCCAATGAGGGGAACCAGGAAAGAAATCAATCGATTCCATCACATCACGTTACCGGCTGCGAAACCAAAATATGGGGGAATACAAAAGGTGAGGAGATAAAGAGAAAAGCCCTACGAAAGGTGAATCTGGGGGGGGGGGGGGGGGGTCGAGAAAAAAAAGAAGGTAGTAGGCGCTAATATACTGTAGGTGCCTAGGCCATACAGACATCAAGGAGCGCTGGTTCTCAGAATTTCTATACCGGTGTTTATTTCTCAATTACGTTCTACGCAGAGGCTAACGATTGGTATAGAGAAGAGAGAAAGGCAATAGTCTTAGGGGAGAGATACTTAGGTGTTATATGATCTACCCAGAACCCTTTAGTCAACAATATTTACAAAAACCGTGGAAAACTGGCCAAGGAACTCATAAATATATATAAAGTGCAGCTCACAATGCTACTCGAAAGAGGATCTTATGACAGAGTAAACCTTACAGAACTTGAATGATTGGTACTTTTTTGGCCTAGTTGATTCATCCGGTCAGAATGCTTTATAAAAATGGACCGTAAATGTAACCCGTCTAGACGCCGCCTTCTTAGTTCATTCGTTAAGCGGCCAGAATATCTTCCATCCGTGCTAGTACCTATTGCGTGACACGATCAGAAATTGCATGGGGAAGGATGGGAGCGCTAGCTGCAGGGCTTTCTATAATCATACGGTAAGTTGCCATTAACTACACCCCCTAACTGGGCTGACTCCCTAAATGGGCCAGAATATCGTTTATCATAAATGCTTGAGACTTCAGGATCAGGAAACTTAACTAATTTTCAAAACCTAGATCGAGAGCTTTTGTTTTGGGTAACGCACAGAGAGACCAGAGCGAGTGATAATCCATGAACGTAAATAAGTACTTGTTAGAAGATACAAACACCCCACGTTGCCGTAATTTTCTATAATTCCAATTCGCCTATGTATGTATTAGTGCTATAACATACTGATCTCTTGCAACAAATCTTTGCGAGACGATTCATCTCAGCTTTAAAGCCGAGGCCCAGGCTGATACCCCACCATTACATGCTCACCCCACACTGCATGAAATATCAACATAACATTTAACGTTAACCTCAGTCATGGGAACGGTTAAAACGGAAATCGGCAAAGCCGTACTCACAAACCATCACTCGTCATCTTGATTACTGTCCTACTTGCCTCGGCTTATTAAATCCGCGCAGAACGATGTTAGGTTTGCGCCGGAGGCTCCGGGGATGTCAACTCCGGAGAATAAAATCACGCATCTATATGCAGGCGCTCATATCGACAGAGATATCCGAAACCGAGGGCCGGGAAGGTGACGGAAGAAATAAAGAAGGGACTGGTGATATTTGCCTTGATGGCATCACTCTACTGGCTTAGCTCCCAACTACTTTACACATATGTGAAGTTAATATTGAAAATGAGACTATTGCAGTTTGCAGAAAAAAATACATGTAACTATACTATCGTACAAATGCTACACGGTGTATATATGATATGTGCTTTAATAAGGTACATAGCAATAAATCCACCAAACTAATCAATACAATTATTTACTCATAAAATAGTCCAGCAAAGGAACGAACCTACTCTCCATAGTATGAGAGAAAAAACACACCAACGCCAAAAAAACACTTATACATGTCATCCGTAGCCATAATTACCTAGCCCTCCTCCCTCTCCGTACGCTACCCTCTACATCTACCGCCGTCTTAACTCTCTTCATTACCGATCTCTGGTTCTTTGGTGTGTCTGGTCCAACCGCATCGCCACTGAGCTTTGCCCGCACATTTTTTCTCTCCTTCTCAGCTTCCGGATCTTCATATCTGATAGCCTGACTGGGCGCCGGGGTCGTCTGGTCTGGGGGGCGTCTAGTGCTGCTTAGATCGTGCAGGTTGACTTGAGTATTTTTAGCTTCAGACACTACCGGTTCAGCGTGACTTTCGACTGAAGATGCTCGGGAAGGATTGTTATAGAATGATAGGTTTGAGGTGGCTCTCCCCTGGAGTTTTCCGCGTGGTCGTTTGCGTTCAATTGCGTTTGTAATTTCGCCTTTGCCGAGTTTCCCTAGGATGTCACTGATACCGCCGCTGGATTTTCCACTTGCGGGGTCGGGTGTGTCTTGATTGTCACTCGAGGAAGGCTTTGTTACTATGTTTAACGCACTGATTTGTGGCACTGGGAAGGATGTCGACAGTTGCGTCGGTGGTGTTGGATCTCTGGCTATGTTGTGGTTAATTTCATTAAGATTTTCGAAGTCATCTTGAAAACCTTGTCCATCCTCGGTATCATCTACAACAGGTTCATCTTGCTTTACCTCGAAGGCTGGTTTTATTGGTGAATGTATTTCCACCGAGGGCACCGGTGATAAACTGCTCGAACTTCCTTTTGAAAAGTCCATTTCCAAACCTTTACTCGGCGCGATGATGGGAGGATAGGCTTTTTCATCAACCCTCTTTCCAGACTTTTGGCATTTATACAACCAGTCTGGTGAGACAATGTGGCAACCAGGAGTTGCGTTTGCCACTTTAAAGTCCTTGGTTGTATCCCGAGGGGTCTTCGACGAATGTATCATGTGTGTGATGGAGGTATCTGGGTGAATGGAATCTACGATAGCGGCACCAAGAGATCTCGCAACTGAACTCAATTCGACACTGCGAGCCTATAGTTTTTTTTTTTTTAATCTTTTAAGCCGATTATTCCTGAATGGTTTGCAGGGAAGGGGATTACCTTCAAATTTTTGCTTATATAAATAAAGCATTTGTCCAAAACACCGTTGTCTTCACATGGCATTTGTTGATTCTCTATGTAGTTGATGGTACCGCTATCGCCGGGTAATGGGTCCGAAGTCTTTCCCCCCAAATCAGCTGCATTCGTTTCGACTGGCTTCTTCCCCCTTAGCCTGTCTCCGAAAGACTGCAAGTTCTCACCCAGAAGCTTCCCCCCGTCCTGAAAATCCTTTCCCAAAAACCGTGGTCTCTTGTTATTTCCCGAAAATTGACCATCTACCACTGGCCCTTCTTTGCCTTCTATATCCTCTGGTTCTCTTGATTTTCGTTTCTTTCCCAAAATGAGAAAATCTGTGAATGGTACTTCTTTGCACTCCTTTAGACATTGCCGGAACCACTCGGTCGTCACTACAGGTATATCATTTTGAATTGCGAAGTCAAACTTATCCCCTCTAGCCGGTAAACTTGTGACGAGTAGGTCTCTTTTCTTTGTTAGAATATCATGAAAAGAAGCCCCTGTGGAGTTTTTCCAAGTCAGCGAGTAACCCGAAAGCACCGGATTTGAGATTCGAGCTAACCTAGTAGAGTTATTAGGTTTCTCATATGTAGTAACTCGACTCCTGTAAATTGTGTCAAGCAGATTTGCATTCCTTTAAATCCTATTACCAATGTTAGACCACATCTGCAAATACCATTAATCGGGTATACCTTCTAAAGGAAATTCTTCAAATGGTGAATATGTAAAGCCATCGGACGGCTCAAGGAGTGTTGATTTGTGCATACAAGCCTCAAGCCACCAATCCGTGACAATCAAAACATTTTCAATGCTAGAGAAATCAGGACAGTCACGTTTGCGCATGGTAGCTGGAACCACGACAAATAATCGAGATGTACCCTGTAAACAGTTGAGTGCTTGAGTTGAAGAAACTATATTCGCATCGTAGGAGAGCAGAATACTATGCACAATCCCAGCCTGTAAAACATAAGTACGGGAGCTTTGATGTGGAGGACTTGGATGTAGAATTCAACAAACCCGTTTTTTATTAAACCCATAAATGTAGAAACTACATTGCGCCATGAGCCCTGCGTTAGCGGACACACGAGTGGGTAGTTTTTCGGAGTCTTTAACTCTTTCTGGCATGTCTTTGGGCGATTTCTTTGCACTATCTGCGTGCGAATTTTCCTCCCATTCGTCTCTTTTTTTTGGCTTCGGATTAGATGCCTGTCCCAAGATATCCCCCCAAATTCCCTGACTCTGACTCCCTAGCAAGTCACCAGCTCTTTTCCGGATCTTCCGCTTGCTACTGGCTTCAGGAAGTGACTCTGCAGTTACAGTGGTCCGGGGTGCTGGCTTAGCCCCTGCACCCAATTTCTCTTTGGGCAAACGTGGATCATAGCATGATTCCTCCAGAGCCATGCCTCTCTCTAAACTCTCATGAAGCCATTCCACTGTTACAACGCTAATATTATTATTCATGGCGAATTCGTATTTCTTCCCCGTAGGAGCTGCGGCGATAAGGTGGGTCACATGCCTCGTTAGATCGGGGTGGTAGGAAGCTCCGTGGCCGCTGACCAGATCTTCAATTTTCTTTCGATCGGCCACTAGAGTAATTATCAGCATCTGCTCCGGGGTGCATCGTCCCCAGCGGTCCATTACTCACAATCCAAAATACCGGTGACAGATATCGATAATTTATAAAGAATAGGAAGCTGGAATTTTTCCTCAAAACCGCGGGGGTTTATGTCTTCACCATCGATCCAAACATCGTACATGGAGTCCACCCATCCCACCATCATTACCTTCACATCTGTCCGCATCTTCGCAACATATCTGTATTTCGGCGTGGTGATGTCCTCGCACACCAAATGAGTTACATCCGAAGTAAGATCAAGGACATGTCGCGCCCCCATATCCTGCGCTTTCTTGGCTAGTATTTGCTATAGACACATGCTATCAGCTTTGGCCCCGGGGGTAAGAAACAGGAGTTCGGATATGAAATTTGTACTCACACGAGCATCCGGAGGAACCGATGTGCAACATATAACAATTCTACTGAGCGGGTGAGAATGGCGTGTTATCTCTGCCTGGTCTGCCATTTTGAGTGGCGGGACGCGTATGTTTAAAGTTGCGAATTTGAGTGAGTTGAGAATAAAGATAGGTCGGGGTTTCGCGTTGACGGTTGCATCACATTCCATGGCGCATGTGGTATGTCACGCCAGGGTTAGGGTTATATATAATGGAGAATTCGTACCTCTTGCTAATTTAATGATACTGATAGCGTGTATATCGTGTAGGGGCTCGTTTACAATCATAGAGAAGTTCGTACCTGGTACCCAGTTCTTGTTTAGAAAATAATCTATCAAGGTGAGTATCTAGCTTGGCGCACAGCCACTCACTCGATAATTCTTGCGGAGACCATTATCAATATAATATTCGACATTCTAATTACCTATGTATGTATGTCCCGAAGCCGCATCATATATGATATACGGGACCAAAGTTCCTAGCTGAAGATTCTGCCGGTGACAACTAGATGATCGGGCCGAGTGAGGTTCTATGAACCAGAGGGTCTACTCGCCAAAAAATAAAGTCTGTGGATGAACTAAGTACCGTTGCAACGCAACCATTAGGCCAGGTACTTAATTCATCCACAGACTTTATTTTTTGGCGAGTATATCTAGTTTCAGTGTCCATATACTGGTAGTTAAACTATAAACTAAGTTGACTTCATTCTAGTCGTGAGTATATAGCCCAATAAGCCTTAGGGATCTAGCCCTTCCATAGGTGTAGGGTGCATATAGTGACGGGCCGCCCTTCTGGTAGGGAATAGGGGGGATATATCTTTTAGCTTTAACTACATTAAAGACGAATCTGGTGCCAAGAGCGTGCTCGTCCCCAACGTCCCCAACATCCCAGCCGGAAGACCACGGTTTCTGGAGTTATATGTGTATACAGTACCAGAAATGGGGGTAGAACTAATACTGCATCAGTACGGATTACGAGAATATATATGCCGCTTTGTCTCCGTATTTTAACGGAGGACCCCTAGACCCGCGGCCGGTGATAATTGTGGTCGTACCAATTTAGATAATGGTATTCAATATTAATATTCAGATATATCATTAGCTATCACTTAAGTCTAGGCGTCATCAAACGAACAATTTCTCTGAACTTATATATTTTGACTAGTATATGTACAGATATAATTCTAAATTTAAGGTGGAGGTGAAATCGGAAGTATATTTAGATATTATGATATTAACACGAGTGGTAACTGGCGTGTAACTTAAATATACAGTACTGTAGCGTATATACGCGCGTAACAAACCGGCAGAGGGGGCTAAAACCTGCACTTGGAAGAAGCAACAAAAACAAAAAATAGCACTAACACTGTTGATATAGTACGTAGCAAGAGTCATTAGATACATGTATATATGCGAGAGTAGATTTTAGATCGGAGCCACACAAAGTACTGGCTCTAACCGGTGTGCTAAATATTGTTCATGAAACAGGAGTTGCATCTGTCACTTGCGGATTTCTTGAGCAGCTTTTGAAGTTTACACACTGATCGTACACGTATCGAATCCTCCCCACTTCAATTGTATGTAAACGCAATATACATGTATATACCTCTCAGAAATAAGTACATGTATGTACATGAAGTCACTAAATATTATACACATACTTAAGTAATATGAGATTAAAACGGATTCTATGACACTAACAATACGTACTTTCCAAAATAACTTACGCTCCGTTCTGCAAAACTGAAATATAACCAAATATGTGAATTTTCGATCTCGTATATTTGTGGATGTGGATGTGGATGTGGATGTGGTAGATTGAGCTACTTCTAATGCTGTATAAAAATGTCAGTTCAAAATTCAGGTTGGAGCCGAATATTTTTTTTACATCAATATTAGGCATACAGCAACAAATTGGAAAATATTGCATTTCGTGGTAGCTGGAACTAGAAGCAATATCGTATATTTTTCTCAATATTACAAGATTGGGCTGAATATCATGATATTCGGGTGCTGCAGAACAGGGTGCGCATGCTAGTACCAAAATTAAACCAAATCATGTATGTACATATGCATGTCACTTTATTATTCAGAGAATTCGACGCAAATTAAGCTGATACACCGTAGCTAAATTTAATATGAGGGGTATTGAGAATTAAATTGTTTGGGGATCCATCTATAACATTTTCATTTTAGCCATTTTTATCTAGCTATCCTGATGAAAAGATATTTGGTCCCACAAATTTGCTTCACGGGCGGTTATTTTCCAAATCCATATAAACCCTCTTTAAAACTCATCCTCGCCGCTGCCTGAGATGATAACATTGTTCACCTTTAGGACCATTCTGCAAAGTTGAGTGGCTAACAGAAGCTGTTGACGCTTTCCAATCAAGGGATCGATGACAAAGTGTTCCTTCATGTCGTTACTTCCACTCTGCATGCAATCCACTCCCAACTTTGAGTTGTTCTCGCGAGCCTGGCGAGACTTGACGTAGGCCAAAGTTTCAATGGGAGATAAACCAGAATTCTCGGCGAGTGCCATAGGAATGGCATCAAGGGCTTGAGCAAAAGCGCGGATAGCATACTGTTCCAATCCGGGAGTCTAAAAACCGTTGATTTTAGCACTTCATTTATATGAATGAGAAGGACACCTGTATACCTTATCGGCCTCTTCAGCGACCGCCAGCGAACAAGAGATTTCCGCAGCACCTCCGCCATAAACGACACGGTTATCACGAACCAAGTTCCGGACGACACAAAGAGCATCGTGTAGAGCACGCTTGGCCTCATCGATGATCTGGGGATAATACATCAGTGCCTACTTAATGAATAACCAACTTATTTTTGTGCTCACCATTTTGTTACTTCCTCGGACAAAGACGGTAACAGCCCGTGTATTAGCACAGTCCTCAATGACCAACATCCGATCCCTAGTAGTTCCAAATGACAACTCCCTAACTAACCCAGCTTTTCCAAGCTTCTCCGCTGTCAGATCTTCGAATCGTGGAACAATCCGAGCGTTTGTTGCAATGGCGATCAGCTCAATCTCTGGTCCACCAACCCATCGAACAGCGGGTAACTTATTCTGAAGCAACAAATGATTGGCCTCATCATCAAATCCCCACTGACATATAACTAGGTTCGCGCCGGTATCCTTAATCTGCTTGATCATTTCCTCAAACTTGCTTTTCTCATAGGCCTGAAGACGCTTGAACTCATCGACGGAGGTGATATCGAGCTTATGCTTAGTCTTAGGCTTTGGGGGCTCAAACGCGCAAGTCAGGATAGCAAGTTTTGCGTCATGAATGACCCTAGGCATCTGAGGATGTGACATGTCCTTATCGATAATAACGCCCTTTACCAGCATCGAGTCTTCAAGAGAGCCACCAACTTTACCATCAACTTTGATTAGCTCAAAATCAACATCCTTACGGTCCAAGTCTGCAACAGAAAGAACCGCATCAACGGCAATCTTAGTGAATTTGTCATGGGCCTTAGAAACGATCTTGGAGCCAAGAGATGTCTTTGCAGCTCTCAACAAATTGTCCATATTGTCCTTTGAGAACTCTACCACGTCCGAAATTTTATCAAGGTGAGCCACGGCAACGTCACAAGCCTGGTCAAAACCGTCTGCGATCCTTATGGGATGGATGCCCTTATCGATCAAATCACTCGCGGCCTCTAAGAGAGCTCCGGCAAGAACAACGACACCAGTTGTACCATCTCCTATCTCGTCGTCTTGAGATTTTGACAGCTCAACAAGAAGCTTGGCTACGTGGTTTTCAATTTCCATCTATAAACATAATTCCGTATCAGTACGCGTGTAAGATAGTCACAATGATAGGGGGATAGATACCTGTCCCAAGATCGTCGCACCGTCGTTCGTGACAGTGATGTCGCCATCGGGGGATATTAAAATCTTGTCGAGTCCTCTTGGTCCCTAAATCCAGGTATCATATCAGCCACCACTCTTCCCTAACTCAATATCATCTAAACGCATACCAAAGAAGACTTGACAATGTTTGCTACAGTTTTTGCGGCCAAGATATGAGACTTGACAGCTTCCGTTCCGTGTTGTCGTTTCTTCTTCCCCTGGCTATCACAAACAAGATTTATTAATCCCAAATTCCCAGTCCTCGTACATTTCTTTTCCCACGGAAAGCTATCCAACACTCACTCTCGAACAATGATGAACGGTCGTCCATTCTCGTCCCGTACCATTTGAGCATTGCTCATGTCGAGTTGCATCTGCCCAGCCATGTTAAGGAGCGGAGGAGGATGTCAAGGTGAGGGGCAGCTAGGTTGGCAAAATAATCGGTTCCTGGTAATTTACCGGTACACGAGATTCAATGAGATGTCGTCGGATTTTATTCAGAGCGGGGAGATAGTGGGAGGGGAGGGATGCGGCTCGAAGAGAGTTGATGCTTCCCGGTGCTGGCTGGCGTTTACCTTACTAACGACACCCAAAAAAATATCGAGGTGGGGTGCGGCCCTGCAGGCTGTGTGGCTTTAGCGGGGCTGTGGCGGTGCATGACTAAACAATCTCCATAAAACAGGAACGGTACAATGTACGTAGATACATATTTCATCGATAGGCTTTTATTCCAAATATTATACTCGCCAAGCAAATAAAACACAAAACAAACAGAATAACGATCATGACCACCACCCCAAAGCATCACAAATCACGAAAACGTTTCCACCCCCTCCCCTCCCAAAACAAATACCCCCTCCAATTTTGTTTGTGTGCCTCAAGTCCCCAGTAAACAACTCGGCAATAAGATACGAACTCAATCATAGGACATTTCTTTATATTCATGTCGTCTGCCTAAGATATTACTTATCCAACTAATTCCTACGTATTATTGACCTATCTCATTGCATCAGCAGCAGAAATTAACATAGGATGATCAAAGACTAAGTCGGATGGGCGGATTCCATACCTTTTCTCTCATTTGTGACAAGAATTGCCCTAACCCAACACTTTGATCTGCTCTATCCTCAATCAACATGGTCTGAGCCCACAGTCTAAGGGCAGGTTCTCCGTCTCCACGAACGACGTAAAGATGTGG